CTGAGCCTTCTTCCGTTCCCGATGCTGAATCTTTCCAAGACTCTCAACTTGAGATCCCAACAGATGTAGGTGAATTTTTTACAAGTGCAGATGCAGAACCTTCCTCATTCGAATTCGAAGATACCGATTCCTCCACAAATGTTGCTTCAGAACCTTCGTCCGATGCAGACGCAGATCCAACAATCTCTGAAGATGATTTTTCAACAAAATCAGATGCCCAGCAGTTCACAAGTGAACAAGTTGAACCATCAACAGATGTTGTTAACGAGTCTTCCACAAATGCAGACTCCTCCTTAGAAACACAAGAGCAAGCTGACTCAAGTTCACATGAAGACACCAAGCCCGACACAAATGCATGGTTCCAAACCAGCCCAGATGCGGAAATACTCTCCAGCAGTGAACTGAAATCTCTTTCAGAATCAGAAACACTCTCGGGAAGAGAAAGCCAAACCGAACTCCTTGGTTCTGCGAGTACCGCCATCGAAGAAGACAGTACAATAACTCAATTCCCTCCTACAGTTGCAGAAATAGGTTCTAATATGACTCAAATAAGATGTCGATTTACCACGATTCGTGACGAAACGTTATTGGTTACTACATGCGATGAGTACAACATTTGTGAAACTTATACTAAAGTTCGCCGGATTGATGTTGAAACTTTTTGCCCAACCGATACAACAATTGACAGTACTACCACCGAGCCTTACAGTTCTCTGAACCAAGAAGTGTTGGAGACTATGTCACACATTGATACCGAATGCGACGGGAATTGTGATGGGGTCATTAAAGGATCGAATAGCGCAATCACCAAATCGTCTTCTGCTATTTCGGCAATTACAACCACTAAACCTTCCGAAGAGATTGTTGATTCTGGTAGTCTGGACGAAGAAAGCTGGTCTCATATGACAGAAATGGCTACTGAATGCCAAGGAAAAGATTGTGAAGAAATTATTGAAGAATCGACTACTAGCACCAAGGAATCTTCTGCTATTGAAACTAATGATCGCCTGGAACAACTTGCTGATACGAGGAAACAAACTGCTGCCACATGCGAAGGAAAAGATTGCGAGAAAGTCATTGACAGTTCAACAACTAAACCATCTTCTGCCATGGAAACTGCTCCTCTGGGACAAGTTGATGAAACTTTGAGACAAACTACCACTAAATGCAAACTGGGAGGTTGTAACGGTGCCATTGAAGAATTGAATACAAGAATTACCAAAGCTGTTTATCCTCTGGGCCAACAAATTGTTGAGACCTTGACACAAACTGTTACTGAATGTGAAGATCAAGTTTGTAACGAGAGTATTGAAATCTTGACGTCTACTATAACCAAACCACCTTCAGCTATTGAAACCAATTATCCTCTTGATCAAGAAATTGTATTGACTTTGACACACACCAATACTGAATGCGAGGGCAGAGTTTGTAAAGAGATTATCCAAGAATGGACCACAACAGTTACTAAAAGGTATACAGGTATTGTAACCAGTGCTAGTCCCAGTGATGGCGGTAATGCTAGTATCAACCATAATGGTAGTGGAAGTGACGGCGGCAGTGGTAGTAGCAACCGCAGTAATGATAAAGGTAATGTTATTGACAGCAGTAGTGGCAATGAAACTCGCAATGCTATTGCTGGTAATGCTAACGGTAGCGGTGCTGGTAGAGACAATGGAAGTGGCAGCAGGGGCAGTGGCATTGGGAGTGGCGCTGGTATTGATACTGGTAGTGGTAGTGGTAGTGACAGGAGCAGTGGTATTGCTAGTGATGTTGAGAGTGGTAACAGCGGCAATGCTGGCGTTGGTAGTAGTGGCGACAGCAGCAGGGACAGTGGTATTGGAAGCGGTATTGGAATTGGAAGTAGCAGTATTGCTAGTGATAGTGGCAGTGACAGTGACAGCACCAATATTGGTATTGGAATTGGCGGTAGCGGTACTGGTAGTGGAAATGACAGCGATGGCAGCCGTGGTATTGGTAGTGATACTAGTACTAGTGGTGGTGGAAGTGACAGCAGCAGTAACAGCGGTAATGGCGGTGCTGGTGACAGCGAAGCTGCTTCAATCGAACGTGTATCTGGTACTGCTTTTGGTAGTGGTTCTGTCGAAGAATCCAATACCAATGTTCCATCTGAAGTATTAGACGCTGCAGGAAAGAGATTAGAACCTACCTTACTAGCAGTATTATCTATTGTTATTCCATTTGTGATTTTTTAGAACTTTGCTTTTATTATATTTTCCATCCTCTTATGAATTATTTAGAAGTCTGCTTTTATTATATATCCCCTCCACTTATGAATAGTTTAGTATTTGATAATAAATAACTTTGTAGTGAAAAATCTGATCAGATTTACTTTGTTTAACTTTATCAGTACGATAAAGCTAAATTACACACTTCTTGAAGACAACAGTTCTTAATTCTTTGTGCTATTTGTAAACTCATATAGCAGTAAGCTTCTTTTGATTCCTGGAAGATATTTTTTTACATCAGAGTACTCTCTCTTCAAAGTGGTTTGATAAAGTGGAAACCATTTCCGTTAACCGAAAAAAATACATTACCCTAAATACACAATACAATACTGACCATTGGTATCCGAGCACTATTAGTTTGGAAGCAATCTCTAGGTCTTTTAAAAAAATCCGACTTTCTAGTCAGTTTTTGGGGTTTAGAACCATCATTTTCCGAATCAGGTGGTTTGCGAGAAAGCTGTTTCCGAGGTTATTTTGAAACCGCATTAACCGCGATATCACTTAGCCGAAATGAGGTCAAATTCTTGTAATTATAAAATCAATTATAACGAATATATGATCATACTCACCATTCAATTCTGGAAGGACTTTATATAGGCATGTTGGAGACTTGTCTTACAAAGTATGGGTATAAAGTTGGATTGAAAGTTGGCCCCACTCATTTGATTTTTCGAATTGAAGCAGCGCGGAATGCACTGCCTAAAGATGCAGTTTTCTTCCGGCTATATTGATTTCTTTTGCATTTGAATATAAACGCGACCTAGCCGCTCTACTGGATTGCTTGTTTCTCTCGTATCTGAGCTTATCTGACATACTTACTTTCTTTTCATCAGTGTTTTATTACTTTGACTTGGTAATGGCCTGTATTTTTGCAACCATTCATGAGTTTGATCTCTTGTCATTAACATCATTTTCAAGGGAAAATTTAAGACAAAGAATGGTTAATATTGGTAACGTCATCTCTGATTTGAATCATTAACCGACTTTATTAGTCCTACACTTACTTCGACGTGAAAAATGACTAAAATTCTATCATTCTGAAGAAGAAACACGCCCTACTCTGGGGACCTCGCCACAATTTCATTTGTAAATGAATTCACACTAGATATGAGATTGAGAGTCAACTTGACAAACATGACGTTCTTAGGAAAAGTCTTCTCGCCATTTCTACAGAACTCACTGAATATCTACCCTTTTCAAACTCCTTTTCCTCGACTCACTTAACTTTTCCGAAATAGGACCTCTCGGCCGAAACATGCAACGGAAAAAATAAAGATTAAAAAATATTCTTTCGATTTGCTCATTTGTTCTCTGTAACCTTGACAGGAAGTGGAGATATGAAACTGGATCGTCATCTTTGAAATTATTATTGATATTTGCCTTCAACTATCTTCTCTACTTCATTAATACTAAAAATACTAAATAATCAAAAGAAATCATACCACTACTTAATAGGACGACATCCAAATACTATTTCAACACTATAATGAAGACAACACCTCCAACGGATCTAATCAGATTTCGGAAATACATCCCCTTATCGCTCATCCTATCCATCATCCTCACCCTCCTAATCACCACCCAATTCAACTACACCATTATTCCCATATTCCAATCCACCAATCCCATCCAACCCCTCTACCACCTCCTCCGTGATCCAATCCAAGAAATCGGTCATCCATCCCTCACACCCCTTCCCAAACCACCATACATCCACACCCACCCCACTGCTATGGTCGCCTCCGACGTCCCCGTCTGCTCAACAATGGGGAAAAACATCTTACTCCAGGGTGGAAATGCCGCTGATGCTGCAATTACAGTCGCATTATGTATAGGATCGATCAATTCCCACAGCTCGGGGATTGGCGGGGGTGGGATCATCCTATCCCGATCCAACAACTCCACGATCTCCATCGACGCTCGAGAAGTCGCCCCAGCGGGGGCATATAAGGAGATGTATGACCACCCCGAGGGATATAGGTATGGAAATGGGAGTCGAGTGGGTGGGTTGGCTGTGGCGGTGCCGGGGGAATTGAAAGGGTTGTATAGTTTGTATAAACTTCATGGATCGGGGAAGTTGGGGTGGAAGGAATTGATTATGCCGGTGGTGGAGTTAAATAGACGGGGGTGGGAGGTGAGTGAATTATTCGGGGCTGTGGTTGAGAAAGAGTATAGAGAAGTATTAAGCAAGTATCCTGATTTAAAGCTGTCCTGGGGTGGGTTTATTTTGAAAGAAGAGAAGAGTACTGGAGGGGGAGAGATGGAGATGGTGAGAGTGAAGGCGGGGGATTGGATAAAGAGGGAGAGATATGCTGATACTTTGGAATTAGTTGCTAATAATGGAAGCCATGCTGTTTTTTATGACCCCCATGGACCAATTGTTAAGAGTTTGGTGAAGACCGCTAGACGATTTGGAGGGATTATTACAAAAGAAGATTTTGCTAGATATGATGATATTGTGGAAGAACCAATCTTTGTCCAAGTTAATAATATGAGTGTTTATACTGCCAATGGAATATCATCAGGATTAGCACTTGTATCGGGGTTGAAATTTTTCGATAGGGTATTTGATGAATCAGATGATGAATTGATGTATAATCATAAACTCATAGAATCATTCAAATGGCTTTCATCTATCCGGACTAGATTTGGAGATGTTTCCAAAACCTATCAAAACGATCTAGTCAAGAAATATACCGCCGATACCTGGATAGATGAACTTCTTGACCTGGGGAAATTCTCAACCAATACCACATTTGATTGGAAACATTATGATCCCAAATATTCAATCCAAGAACCCCATGGCACAGCCCATTTCTCAGTCGTCGATAAAGATAATAATGCTGTCTCAATGACCACAACAGTAAATCTCTTATTTGGATCAAAAGTACATGACCCACAAACCGGGATTGTCCTCAACAATGAAATGGATGATTTTTCACAACCACACATCTCAAATGCATTCAATCTCACTCCATCGATCTATAATTTCATCAATCCTTATAAGAGACCATTATCTTCAATGGCACCTACTATTATTATAAAAGATGACAAGGTGGATTTGGTAATTGGTGCAGCTGGCGGGAGTAGGATAACTACTGCGATCTTACAGGCGATCATTAGGTTATATTATCAGAATATGGATCTTTTGAAGGTGATTTCATATCCTAGGTTACATCATCAATTAATTCCGCAAGGGATTATGTGTGAGAATGTGACTATGTATAATGAAGAGTTTGCAACAAAAGAAGGGAGCAGGAGTATGAGGGAAAGGATGAGTGAGTTGAGACATGATTTTATTGAGACTGGTGCATTGACTGCAATGAATGGGATTAAAAGAGTGAATAGTGTGAGTGAGAGTGAGAGTGGTAGTGTATTAGAAGGTGTTTGTGATTGGTGGAGAAAGAGAGGTGAAGCAGACGGGTATTAGCTAGATTTGTTTTCTAATTATAATTAAATAATAATAATAAAACTTGCATAGAAACCGGAACATTGTAGAAATTATTAGAAAATAACCGTTATTCCAACAAATGATTTTTATTCGCTGGGTAACTATGACAAGAAAAATCCCAAACTCCGAAGACTACACATGTGTCTAATATTAGACAGGCGTTAAAACAGACCCGAGAAGTGAAACGCTCACTGATAAGAAAATCAAAAGACCAATTGATAAGCCGCTCCACGAGAAAAAAAATAAGATATTTCCACGGGAAACCGGAACCGGTCAATATAAATTAAAAAAAAATAATTCAAACTTAAAGTTTGTAATCAAATAGAAACCACATCTACACAATTGCGACTTCTCAATTATCGCTTAAGTAATCCAATGAGTCATTATTAGTGTATACGATTTCTCAAATGGATTGAATTTACTCAGCTGATGAACTCATAAGAAGAGTATGGTTCGATGGCAAACTTAATGTTTTAATGCGCTCAATGCTATCCATATTTCCTTTTGTGGTGTTGACATTGTTGTGGCTTGAAGGATAGTGCGGTTACCGAACAATGGGAATTTTCTTTAAAGAACAAATAGATTAGAAAGAATATTTGACTTCTTTCAGTACAAAGTCTATTGTCAATGAACGGATACATTTTTAGTCTGCTTAGTAAATAAACAATTTAGGGGATTACCCATGGGATTACTATAATAGGGTAAAAGGTGTGTATGTCTGAGACTTTCATTTAACAAAGAAATTACATCACACACATCAGAGGGATTTTTGTCTTAGCGGAATTTAGAACAATCAACAAAAAAAAAAATTATTCGAAATTGATTTGAGTTTAACATGTGATATTCTAATATCACAAAGTCAATGAGATGTGGGTGGGATGATTAAAAAAAGTATATTGAATAGTTAATAAGATAGATCAATTCTGAAACTGTATAACTTATTAACGATTCAGATGCATTTTAATTGAATCTACATTTCATTAGAGATATTTTAATGGGTTTATATATACAAATGAATGAATCGAATGATAATAAAATTGTTGTACATAGTTACACTACCAATTTTATTTTTGTATGCAAACTCCCCCACAAATCGAATCTCACAAAGAAAAGATTTAATCAACTCCGATTGGTCAACAGAATTAAATTAAAAAATAATTTATTGATTTTTTTCTTCCGTTTTTTTATTAGTTGCCACAAACATTTCTTGCTTTTGATTGAAATGTGTGAAATTATTCATTTAGATTTTAACGGTATTTACGAGGTAAGTATGATAAGCTGGTTACACACATAATATCACTGATAATTACTAGTTAGCAGTAAAAGAAGACATTAGAATCAAAATAGCCCCATTATAGGATTTGATACACTATAGAAAAAAATCTGGGGATATTTTCTCATTTTCACTCTTGTTAAAAATTAAATAATAAAAAAAATAAAAAATAAAATAAAACAAAATTGGTTCCGATTTTGAACTCCGAAATGTAAAATAATAAATTTAAATTTTTCTTAATTACCAAAGTAACAATTTAATTTCCCGCTTAAATTAACAAACTGACGATTTTGCCTTTCATTCAATTTAAAACTATAAATATGGAATACAATTTCCATAAATTTCTCTTCATAACTTTCTCTCTTTCTTTTCTGATTGCTTTTTTCTATTTCTTTCCCTTCCTTTTTGTTTTTTAATTATCCAATTAGATATTTGATATTGTGAAACATATATATATAGAAAGAAGTGCCACAATCATGACTACATATCAATATCAAGATACCTTACAAAAATTGCCAATACCAGATTTAAATCAGACATGTACTAATTATTTAAAAGTATTAAGACCTTTACAAACTGAACAAGAACATGAAAAAACAGTAGCAGCAGTTGAAAAATTCTTAAAATCAGGGGTTGGTAGTTATTTAGATACTGAATTAAGAAATTATGCTAAAACAAGACCTTCTTATATTGAACAATTTTGGTATGATGCTTATCTTAATTATGATTCACCCGTTGTTTTAAATCTTAATCCATTTTTCTTATTGGAAGATGATCCTTTTACTAATGAACATTCTCCATTTGATCCACAAGTTAAAAGAGCTACTTCTTTAACTATGGCAAGTTTAAAATTCATTCAAGCTTTGAAAAATGAAGAATTATCAGTAGATACTTTACGTAATGGTAAACCATTATGTATGTATCAATATACTAAATTATTTGGTGCCAGTAGAATCCCAACAAGTGATGGTTGTATGATGCAAAGTGATCCAAAAGCAAATCACATTATTGTCATGTCAAAATCTCAATTTTATTGGTTTGATGTATTGGATTCAGATAATAATTTGATTCTTACTGAAGCTGAATTAAGTGTTAATTTCACTTCAATTATTCATGATTCTTTACTTACACCTTCCAATGAAGTTGCTAAATCTTCCTTTGGGGTCTTAACTACTGAAAATAGACGTGTTTGGGCTAATGTTAGAATTCATAATATTGCTGAAAATAAAATCAATAATGAAATCTTGGGAATTATCGATTCTGCCCTTTTTGTCCTTTGTTTTGATGATATTGTAATTAATGATCTTTCCGAACTTTCAAAAAATATGCTTTGTGGTTTAAGTATTCTTGATAAAGGTATTCAAGTTGGTACTTGTACAAATAGATGGTATGATAAATTACAAATCATAATCACGAAAAATGGGAAAGCCGGGATTAATTTCGAACATACTGGTATTGATGGTCACACTGTTCTTCGATTTGTTTCTGATATTTACACAGATTCCATCCTCGCATTTGCCAATACAATCAATCAAAACACTCCTTCATTATGGAACACAACTCATAATTATGAAATCCATGAAACAGAAAACTTAATCACAATCCCAAGGAAATTAGAATGGGATTTAACTCCAGAACTTTCACTTGCTTTAAGATTTGGTGAAACTAGATTATCCGATTTAATCAATCAAAATGAATTCCGTCATCTTGAATTCAAAAATTATGGTTCCACATATATAAAGAAAATCAAATTCTCCCCAGATGCATTTGTTCAAATGGCTTTCCAAGCAAGTTATTATGCCCTTTATGGAAAAGTTGAATGTACTTATGAACCAGCTATGACTAAACAATTTTATCATGGACGTACAGAAGCAATTCGTACTGTTTCTCAAGAATCCAACTTATTTGTTAGAAAATTCTTTGATTCAAATGTTAGTGATGAAGATAAATTGAAATATTTAACTGAAGCATGTGCTGCTCATTCCGCACAAACTAGATTAGCAAGTTCTGGACAAGGGGTCGATAGACATTTATATGGGTTGTTTAACATTTGGAAAAGATATGTTGATGAAGCAGACCAACTCCATGCAAGTGATATGGAAGAAGAAGGTTCTAACAGTCATACAGATGATGAACATACCGTCGTTGGAGACGACATCAACAATCCAAAATCAGATCTTTTGAGACAATTACCAGATATTTTCGCCGATGCAGGCTGGGATAAACTCAACAACACAATCATCTCAACTTCAAATTGTGGTAATCCATCACTTAGATTATTCGGTTTTGGTCCAGTAAGTGCAAATGGTTTCGGGATCGGATATATCCTAAAAGATGATTCCATTTCCATTTGTGTAAGTTCAAAACACAGACAAACTCAAAGATTCTTAACCACCTTGAATTCATACTTGTTAGAAATCCAAGCCACTAGTAGAAGAGTCAGATATGCCGCCGCCGCTAAAGCCAAAGCCGAAGAAGCTGCCCGTATTGCCGCAGAAGCGGCTGCCTCTAGGGCCGCTAAGATGGAAGCTGAACGTGAAGCCGCTGCCCTGGCTAAAGCCGCAGAAGCCATTTTTACTGAAAGTCAAGCTACAAAACCGGGTCATTTGAGCAGTTTGCTTGGTGGGTATGGATATTTCGATATGGGTGAACATGATATTAAGAGTAGAGGACAAAGTCCAGAACCTCCATTCTTGAATATGAATGAACTTGTGGGTGGCGGTTTTAGTGCTAGAGAAATTGGTAAGAAGTTGAGATTGTCTGAATATTAGAGATGTGTTCGTTATTTATTTATTTATTTATTTTATTTATTCTGTTGTGTTTTTAGTTTTTAGTACATAATTTATATGTCCGTTTTGTCAAATATATATATTTATGAGATAGTTGGGTATAGTAAGTTAACTTTAAAGTTAGTCTAGTATTTTACTTCGTAGAATAATCAAGCGGAATCAATGAACATAGCATGCCTTGGTTCCTTGCTAACTTGTAAGGCTATTTCGAAGACACCCCTAAGCTATCTTTCCTTGATCAGAATATAAAAGCTAACAAAATTACGGTCCTTTTCTCGAGTATTCAACTACAAAACATACTACATGAGAGCTTGACTTGAATCATTGTTATAAAAAATGTTCGTAATCTTAACTACATAGTAAACTATCAATTATAAATAAATCTAAACTAATCACTATTAAATTTATATCCCAAAACTTCCAGAAATAAAAGCACTTCTCAAATCAGCCTTATTCACATTCGTATTCTTATTATGTTTTCCACCAACAGGGATCATATACATATCTGCACCACCTCCTCCCATTCCTCCCATTCCTCCCACTCTCTGCACATTTCCACCACTCACATTCCTTCTCTGCATAGACGGCAGCTTCAACCCACCAGCTCCACCACGTAATGATGGCGAACTTGCACTATTATACTTCGGACTTCCATATTGATATGGATGCTGCTGATGCTGCTGCTGTTGTTGTTGGGGATATTGCGGATGTGGAACAGCCTTGAACGGAGATCCAGAACGACCCATCATAGCTGGAGGTGGCTGCATATATGCCAACAGGAATGCATTCATATTGGATCCATTGGGTCTATATCCGGCAGGTTGTTGATGAGGATAGACATAATGGATTTGATCACGGCTAGGAGATGCTGCCCTGGGGAGTGGTGGAGTGGTCATATATCCTGGTTGTGGAGGTGTACTCATAGAATATCCTATTGGAACACTTGCTTTAGGATGTGGGGTGGCTGGGCCCAAATATCCCCCCTGTTGTTGTTGGTGGTGTTGTTGTTGGACTGGTGGTGAAACAAATCCCAGAGGAACTCCTGAATAACGCCTACGTGGAGGAACTTGTTGTTGTTGATGCTGTTGCTGTGGTGTGGCTGGGTGGGATTGATATTGTTGCTGTGATAATGGCAGTTGTTGGGGACCGAAATACCCGGCTGGAACACCCGATCTTCTCTTTGGAATCATTTGTCCACCCATTGGTGCTGGAAGTAGTTTTTCTGGAGAACCAGAATTAGCAGTTGTATACGATTCTGGAGACTCATCTGGTGATGATTGGACCTTATGACCTTGTTGAAGACGATGATGTTCGGGTGACATTGGAGGAGATGGAGAACGTGGAGAATAACTTCTTCTTTGAGGAGATTTTGGTGGTGAATAACTAATGTATGATTTTTCGTCCGTTGATGATGATCCATGACTAGTTCTGGCACCAGAAGGGAATTCGGCAATTGTATCTGGAATTGGAGAAGCCACAAATCCCATTGAATTAGATTCAATATCCATTCGTGGAGGTGATAAATCCAAATTTGGAGGTGGTAATTCTGGAACAATTAATCTCTTTGCAGATCGTTTTGGAGTAGTTATCATACTTGTATCTTTTGGTGGAGGTGGAGGTGGTGGAGATGGAGAATCAGCTACAGATATAGATGAATCTTGAATTATTGTCAGATCACTATTTTCACCAGAAGATTGCTGAGATGGAGGCAATTCCATTTCAATTGTACTTTCTATTATATTCTTCAGTGATGTTTCAGGAACTTGAATTATAAATGGGGTTGTCTTCAACATATCAGAAACTGCACGAGCTGTTTCCACTGCTTTCTCAGGTGGTGGAGGTGGTTTGTCAGATGGCAAAAATGCAAATGGGAATCCAGCAGCTGTTGCAGCTGCAATCTGAGCTAATTGTGCTTTCTTTTGACCCTTCTTGAACTGTTCTTCATCCACTTGTTTTTCTTCTGTTTTTTGTTGTTTCTTAATTACTTCTTCAGATAATTGTGAACTGGCACTAATTTGACTTTCTGGAGATGGAAGTATTCTTTCACCCGTACCATAATAATCATTATCCTTAATAGAACTCTTTTGTCTCTCTGCTGCTGCATGATATGCTTCATATGAGGCATTAATACTATCATCACTATCACGCTTTTCATTACCTCCTTGAACCATATTACTCTTCTTAGGCTCTGCTTTCATTATTACTTCTGGATCCAACAAAGTTGGTGGAGCTTTCCTAACTACTGGATTCTTGGTTTTTGGTATCACTTCTGGGGTGGACTTAAGGAATCTATATGCCGAGCTTATATCTCTTGACGAAACAAGTGGGGCCTGATGTGCGTCCTGTTCTTGTGCAATTTCTGGTAGTGGTTTACTTGGTTCACTCAGTTTCGTCTCATTTGGATCAATAGATAATAATGATTTGGAAGAAAATATATAACTAAATTCATCACTGAAACTTTGATCAGAAAACTCATCGTCATCATCAAAATGATATACCTTTGGTGGAGCAAACGTATGACTACTTGTAAGATTTGGAGTATTTTGGTCTTCCTGAGGGATTGGAGGCAAGACATTTGATTTAAAATTGTCTTTTTCCACGGGTGGAGGTGGTGGTTTCTGATGATCCTTTTCCACTGGTACTGGTGGAGGCAAAGGAGGTAATGTATCTCGTTTGTAGTCCATCGTGATATGTTTCTGATGAATTTTCAGTTTGGTGTCTTCTTCAATGTGCATGGTTTTCTCAGTTATCACTATCCACTTCTGAAATCCTAATAAGTTAGCTTCTACAACTAAGGATCTACCGAATAATTGTTTTGCTTTAGATGGTTGATCACTGGATAAGGAAGCTAGCCAGGTCCAAATATAATAGTCTTGGATTGATACGTCTCGAATAGTAATTTTGGAATCTATGGGCTTGTCCGAGTCTTCTTCCTCTTCCTCTTCCTCTGATGGCACGTACCAACCAGGATAAAGATTATAATTTGATTGGATAGGTTTTGAAGTAAGTCTTCCTATTATTCTTTGGGATTCATCAGTTAAAGTTCCGACGATTTCTTTAGTTGATTTCTTTGAGAATATGTTCTTTAAAATCGTATAATTCTCAATTGAAAGGAAGGCATCTTTTTTATCAAATGATAAGTTTTTGGTGACCTTTTCAATCAATTCAAATGGATCTTTAGAAGGGATTGTTGTTTCTAACGATACACAAGGGATAGTAATCATATCTCTTAAAGCTTCTTTTTCATCACTAGGTGGATATTGATTGGAAACTAAAAGAGATTGTAATGCTTTTGGTAATTTAATTGTTTCCATGTCATTTTCAGGTAACATTGATCTTAAGAATGATAAAACTAAATGAAATAAAGCATTAGTGGAATTTCTCCACATTTCTATTCCCTCGATGAAATCAAATTCTTGTTGACTTGTTAAGGATCTTTTCATAGGATTAAATGCCCAAAAACTTGCCATTTTACTAATTTTCCTTCCACTTAGATAATTATATTGAGAATTTGATATTATACCTAATAATAAATCAAGGAAATCATATACTATAGATGCATGGGCTGGTGAAGATAAACATTTAGGCATGATTGTTAAAAATGCTTTCTTAGGATATCCTTGTTCCTTTTCACGACGTTTAAATTCTAAATAGACATCCCAACCTATAATTTCATTATTGGGTAATCGAGACCAAATATATTTCAAAATTGATACCAAAGTAAATTCATTAAAATTTGATAAAAGTGATTCAACATAAGCATCATTATCTTCACAATTTATAAGTTGACCTTTTGGAAATAATATAGTTAAAGCTTCTTCTAATTTATAATCATTCACTTTTGATCTGAATGGTAAGAATATATATGATGTTTTAGTACCTCTCTTCTTTAAATCTTGGGTTATTATATGGATAATTGCCCTTAAATTCTTTCTTGTAAATTGATCAGGATGAATTATACCGGCATCAACGAAAGTTGTTAAATCATTGGTTGGAGCATACTGACTATCTGGTAGTTTAGGCAATTGTATGTCACTTGTAGCTACTGTCATTATAGCTTAGTCTATACTATAGTTTGATAAGTGGGTATCTGTAAATGGAATGAGTTTGATGAAATAAATTTTATTCCCTGAATGATGAAAAGTAAACAACGGGCAAACAAAAAAAAAATATTTTAATTTCTCTCGTAATAAAAAATAATTGGCTTCTAAAAAAATAATTTATTTTATAGAATCTGTGAATGTATGCAGAAACTGTAGTTTAGCTTTTCTGTCTGTCTGTCTGTCTGTCTGTTTAGGAAGGGTGTGTCTGAATGTCTGTTTATGATAAATTGGAATTGTAAATGAGTGTTGCAAATAACTCTCTTGACTGTTAATCAGTAGCAATGTCTGTTTTGGATCAATGCTGCAACTCTGTTAAGATTGTACTATAGGAATTGCAAGCAGGGCAATGGAACTTGATCTGAATGGATGTCTGATTTTGTGAATTTCTTTAGATGAGTATATATCAGAATGCGTAAGAATATTGTTGGGATGTAGTGTGTACTGTTTATATTAGATGACAAGCACAATTAATCGATTAGATCTGATAGTAAGCTGTAAGTGTTAAGGGAATGAATAGATCTAACTTGTTGTTGTTATTGAATTTATTAAATTGTCAAAAAGGTAAAAAAGAAGAGTGTCAAATAGAAGAAAGAAAAGCTTCTTAATTTTAATTCAATTCAATTGACTTTTCTATTAGAATTTAAGATTAAGAATAAAACTTACAGCCACAAGAAACGAACAACAACAACAATCTAATTAATCATTAAAATTTAAAACAGAAGAAACAATTAAAAATTTAAATAAGAATTTTTTTTTTTGATTTAGTGGTTGAATTTTATTTTTTGAGCCCTTTAATTAAGAAAACTTTAAAAAAAAACCTTAAATTTAAATACAGGAAAACTTACACACCCTTTTCCAATATTACACTTCTATAAATAGTATTAACCCACTTTGTGTAAATATCTCGCCATCTCCCGACTTCCCTATTAGATAGAAAAGGGACCATATATTCACACAGACAAACCCACATTTCAATAAATCCTTATTCTACTCTATGACTCTCATCCCTTCCACAAAGTACCATATTGTCTCTTATGAAACTTTCATTCTTGTCTAAAATGTTCTAGACGTGTCGAATGTTTCAGTTAACTATTGTTTTATTGTATAAGACACGCTCAACACAAAATTATCTTTCTTGTCATTGCACGAACGCGTCCCCAGCAACATTTCCAACCCGTTTGTTTACATTCCCCTTATAAAACATTAAGCCTCCCCTTGAACCCTGTACCTGCAACCATTAATCTAAAAAAAACTTTAATACCGAGAAAGCGTAACAACTTACCCGACCTTACATTCGATAAATACTTATAAACTACATTACACTACAAATAACTCTTGACAAATAATATATTAATACAAATAAACACATCAAAGGTATAGAATAAACAATACAAAAATCTCTAAATTACATACACATATACTCAAAATGTACCACCACCACCACCACTTCTTCTTCTTCTCTTACACTCTCATTAAAACTGTCTCTGATGATTGCTCATAGCAGCTAAATTCGACATACTACTTATCGCCCTCAAATCTCCATTTCCAGCATTTCCTATCGCATTACTGCTCAATAACATAGCCGCATCATTCGCACTCGCAGCCGCCGCCGCAGCAGGTAAATCGGTCATACTATGATGTCCCACAATATTCACTCCTACTGGTGCTGGTGCTAGTCCACTTTGTGCTTGTGAGGTAGAATACATCTCCGGAGTCACAGATACGGAAGTTGGACCCGATTGGGATGGTTGTGATGATGTAGCAACGGTTGTTCCTAAGTTTGTCACTTGTACAATTGGTACCGGTTGTTGAACCATATTACCCTGTTGTTGCTGTTGCTGTTGCTGTTGCTGCTGGTGTGACTGGGTCTGGATTTGATTATTATTATTCAAAGTGGTAGGAATTGTCGATGGGATAGATGTGATATTCTCGTGAGCACTCGCACCTGCACTCACTTGAGTAGCGAAATTAGCCTGTTGGATAATCCCATCCAACACGTCCGACCCACCTACTGCTTGTAGCAACCGTGTACAATCCTTATGACCAACAAGAATTCCCTTTAGGTTTATAACCTGATTACGTAAATTGGCAACTTGGGCCAGTAGTTCTCGATATCCAGCCAGATAAAAAGCTAATTCTTCTTCCATCTTTTGTGCTAATTGTTTCTTACGTTGTCGACATTTAGAAGCAGCAACACGATTTCTTTCCAAGAAATTGCGACGCTTTTCATCTTCTGTATCATCCACTCCTTCATTTCTTTCATTTTCTTTCTCTTCCTCTTCTTTTTTATTGTCTCGTTTGGTTTTGGCATCCTTTGGCTTCCTTCCCCTTGTTCCCTTGGCTCTCTTGGTTGCCTGCTCCGAATCCTGTCTATTAATACTGCTCTTTCTCTTTCTTGGAGATTGCTTAGTAGTAGTCTCCTGAGATGCATAAACATCCACATATCCTTGATTTTCTCTTCCAACATCCTGTTGCGACTGTTGTTGTGGTGGTGGTTGTTGTTGAGAAACAACCGGAGTATAAGTTTCCTCCTTAATAGTCGGATGTGTTGCATTCATTCCACCGCCATTACTATTATTCCCTCCGTTGGCATTATTCACAGGTGGCAACATATTCGCAGCACCACCAGAAGTAGATCCACTCGTCGTAGTTGGCGCAATCCCCAATAAACTCGATAATCCAGGCGTAATTGGTCCATTCAACAATAATCCCCCACCAGGAGTTGTCAACCCAGGAACTGCATTCAGACTACCAAACAGAAAATGAGCCAAGCCTCCTCCAGGGGTTAATCCCAAACTACTTATTCCAGTACCACCTGGGCCCATTCTTACATTTGATTCATTGGGCGTTAGACCACTGGCATTGGGTACGATATTGCTACTTCCCTTCCTGATCATATTATAATGATTATATCCATTGTGCTGTTGCTGACTGTGTAATTGTTGCTGTTGCTGTTGTTGTTGGTGGTTGGTGGCAGTACTCAATAGGCTATTCCACAACGTTGATGATCCAGGCGTGCCCGGATTAGATAATGAACCAGGAGGTGGTGGGACATGGGGATGTGGACCTGGACCTGGACCTGGACCAGCCGTAAGACCCGTGGAAGGATCATTCACCCCTCCTCCTCCTGGGGACATTCCTAATGGTGGTGGCAATCTTCTTCCTCCTCCTGGCGTGAATAATGGAGGTGGTGTTATGCCTGGGAGTTTATTATTATTAGCGTTTGATGAGTTTAGGTTTGAGATGTTGGGAATACGTAAATTGTGTTTATTTGTGGATGAAGATATCGATGAGGTGGATTCTCTACCACTATTAGTTCCTGCTTCTGCAGCTTTAAGGTTGATGGATGTATCAGATATGGATACGGATGTCTCCTTGGTTGCGAAAGATCTTTCGAATGGATTTGGTTCTAAATCAAATGTTGTCTTCAGCTAAATAACAGGGTTACCAGTTGTTAGTAATGCTACCTTTTTCAAGAAAAATGTCAAATACGTAAAGTGACTAAAAACATACTTCTGCCATTATCGTCAGATGTTATTCCTTTCTTTCAATAGAGTTATTAGTTGATGGATGGATGTTTACCGACTGCTAAAATTTTCACTATCTTTTGTTTATTGTCTCTTTGTAGATATATTTAGAACTTGGGAAGCGTGATGATGTTATTGAAATTAAAAAAAAAAAAGAGAAAAGGGAAATCTATTTCATGAATGACGTAAGAATTTTTTTCCTCCTCTTTTTTTTTGTTTATCATCAACACCACCGGAATTATTCTATTGCACGTGATATGACCGGAATTGTTATTGACAGTTAACGAAATGCATTGTCTAATTGCTCGCCTATACATGTCTAAAATTTCTAACTGATAGGGTACCTATATTTTATTATAAACTTCTTACTGTACATATTAGAAATTGCTATAACGCTAAAGATAGATCTACAAAACAACTGCCTAATTCTTATCCAAATTTTCAATAATCTTATTCAACTTTTCTCGTTTTTCATCGATATTTTCATCTTTAGCCAATTCTGGATTCTCTTTAACAGCTTCTTTAGCTTCTTCTTCCAATGGTTTATTTACGGGTTGAGCTTCTGGTAATTTTTGTTTATCTATCTTCACTTTTGATTCCAACATTCTTGGAGGTTGATTTTCATCAATCTTTCTTCTCCATCCAGTCTTTAAATGATCACTAAGATCAAATTTTGGGAATGGATGTGCTTCCGTATTGAAAACATAATCGGTTAAAGGGATCTTGTTAGTATCGTCGAATAAAAGATAAAGATATTTTAAGGTTTCTGCCCACCAGAATGATTCTGTATTATCGGCAAATTTGGCAACTTTGTCTTTATTGACTTGACTTACATCTTGTAATGAACTGAATGATACTTCTCCATCCAAATTAACAACCTTTGTGTATTTCATGAAATTCTCAAAGATTTCTTCTCCCCATTTTCTATACTTATTATCTCCTGTGATTCTATAGAGATAAAACAATGATTCAACGGTTTCTGGACGTTGTAAATTATGTCTATCTCTTGGTTTGATATAGAAATCTTCATTCTTTGATGGGTCAGTATTGAAAACAACAATTTCTGGGGATAATCCTGTAGCAGGAACATCATGATACATTTTATAACAAGTATATGTCAAATCTTCACCTAATTTGAAGTCAGCTTCACGCTCTTCATTCCAATTAGGTAATTTTCTAGCTTCTTGAATGGTTTTACCTTCAGTTGCACCTAATGCTAATAATCCACCATAGAAACAAACCAAATGGTCCATTTTATTGGATAATCCACCACCGATTCCCTTTTCTAACTCACCTATGAACTTCAATTTATTAGGATATGATTCTTTAACTAAATGTTTTTTAACTCCCTCAACCGATTCACGATACATTTCCCAATAAATCAATTCTTGACTATTCGTTTGTAAATATTGCTTTAATAAATATTCATAATATGAATCCCCTCTTGAACCTAATCGAATATAGCTACCTTGAAATTTCCCAGTTTCAGGATTAACAAAGATTGGAACTAATCCATCCCGTGCCTTATTAGCTTCCAATGCTTGCATAACCTTTTCTGCTAACTGCCACCAATCAGCTTCTCCTGTCAATTTTGCCAAATATTTCATTTCTAATTGAACAGTACCAGCCTCTGCAGTAGATGAAGCTCCTGCATTTACATGATTCTTAATTCCATCTCCAGTTTCTAAATTCACGGAAGCATAAGGTATTCCGGAAGGACTCTTATATGCACCATGTAATAAATTAGCCAAATGGACGGCTTTATCTAAATAAACATCATCTTGACTTAAATGGAATGCCGATAATAATCCACCCAACATTCTAATAGTAGTTTCGAATACATTTACATCTTGATCAAATACATAATCTAAATCTTCTTTAATCCATTTCTTAGCTCTGTTCACTTCTTCTTTAGCATCCATTAACATTAATGTATCCAATGAATCAACAATCATCCAACCCAATGGTCTCTTACCCATATTTTCCCCAGTTTGTTTAATTGGATGATACACATCATAACCCCAGCCATATTTCTCATAAGTATGCCAAGAATCCAACATCGCTTGACGTACTTCTGCTTGAACACCAGCCCAATGGCTCTTACTAGCACCAAAACCAATGCTACCACCACCAATATTGAGCAATCCACCAGATTGAGCGAAATGATAGATTGCATATAATCCTAATCCATATATGAAGGCTTTAAATAACATGATTAATTTATGCTTTGTCGTGCGCGAAGTATGTGAAAGTGGACGGAATTTATTTGGTTTGTCCTTATAATATAATGGTAGTGTACTTCCTGTTGGTTTATCCTTGTATGTGTTCCCCCGAGATATATTTTGAGTTCCGAATGAAAAAGACATTGGGAAGAATGGATAGTCTTGTAGGGAATGTGTGCTGCTTATATATTGCTAGATATATAATATTTTGTGTTGAGATTTAGCGTATATAAGATTAACGAGAGTCTCCTCTTTAAGTTGTTATGTCAATATTGAACAATTGATTGACACCCGTATTGTTCTATTAAAAGCCTACTAGTCCTGACGATAGTGGTTGACGTGGTTTCATATATGTTGTATCAATGATCACAAAGATTTTCGTGGACAACTCAAAAAAAAAAAAATCAAACACGTGACGAGGGTCCATTTTCCTGTTCCAGAATTTCAACGCGCGTCAAATCGTTGGTCATTTTTCTTTTGATGCAAAGAGAAAAGTGAAAAATCTTAGGTATCATCTAAACGGATAGAACGGAACGGATTAGATTAATTGGGTGTCTTTCCGATCCTAACTTACTAGAAACCTATTAGATGTTTGAATGGTTGTCAGTATACCGTCTATTTTCGATAGAATGATCAGTTTGACATGTCTTTCTGTCAAGATTTATTAGTGTCAAAGCCTCGCCATTGCCTCGGCTTGAACAAAATCCAAACTAAAATTCTTATGCTCTATCCCACCTTATCTTGCTCGTTGAGTTTATATAGCCTAAATGCTTCTGCAATCCCACCGTAGTTATCAATTCTATCTGAATAGAAGTCATCTATTCACTTGACGTCATCTTCAAATAAATGACAGATTCCTATTTTTAATATTATTAGCCCGGCTTTGACCGGTCACACATTTGAAATAAAGAAAAAAAATCCCATCTGTCTGGAGAGTTGCATCAACGGCAATAAAAATCTTCCCCAAAAATAAAATTAAAAAGAAAAAGAATTTTTCATACGGTTATTTAACTGTCACTTTTTTTACCAATTGATAAATACTTATTTGTAACAGCCGTATGCCCCTGGTTTGATACAACAGACTTACTTATATCCATTACAAATAATACTTATAGACTAAGCGTATCAACGTAATAACAATCACTACTTCTTGGTATTTGTAAATTCAATCAACGCAAAATAATGTCATTTCCTCCAGGACTGATTAATTCGGAATCGGTCAAAGAAATCGCCGATCCAACTTCTTCACCGATATCAAAATCAACCACAACCTACAACCCCAATAGACAACAAACATCAAATGAATCAGATTCACCTACTCCTACAGAAACACCAACACCATCATCAACTACAACAGGTACAAAAAAATCCAAATCTACAAGAAGATCCGTTGCTTGTAAAAGTTGTCATACACTAAAAGTAAAATGTACACCTTCAGATCCAGACAACCCCGCTGGTTCATGTATAAGATGTTTGAATGCCAAACGAAAATGTGAGATTGATTTAACTCAAACAAGAAAGAGAAGAAAGAAAGCGGATATACTTGAAGCCAATGCCCAAGCTGCCGCTGGTAGTACTTTAACTTCCACCAATACTGATTCAAGACCTGCTAGTAGAGCCGCAACCACACCCGTTTTGGGATATGCTGGCCCACCACAAGCTCAACCATTATCAACAGTAATGTCAAGAGGAGGAATGATTAGTGTTAATGATTCATTGGCAAATTCATCTATTCCTTCTCCTCGGTTCACAACAATAACACCAGTTCAAAGGTTATTCACTTCCGGCTCCCCCGTTTCAGCTCCAGCAGTTATCCCACCCGTACTCCCAACTGTACCCCTAGTAGAAACTGTGCCCCAACAGCCATCTCAACCAGATGAAAAAGATAATGAGATTCTTTTATTAAAACAAAAAGTCAAAACCTTAGAATCTCAACTTGCCCAACGCATGAATTTCCAACACACTCACAAAAGAACAAACTCCACCCAAAGCACCAACGACACAGTTCTGGATGTTAGTTCCCCACCTTTTATCTCCAAATTCGATCTCGAACGAGAAATAACCATCTTAGTAGAATCCTCCAATTCAAAACTCACCGATATAACTAGTGAACTTAATGCTCTTGCCGATCGTCGTACACGCTTATTAAAAGAAGGCAATTCTGCTATTGATATGGTTTCTGCCGGCTTGGTTTCGCCTCAGGAGGCGGCAGAAAGGGTGAAGATTTATAAAGAACAGATATTTGCCTTGAACCCCTTGGTTGATATTCCGGATAACCTTTCAATTGACGAATTTAGGACTCAGCAGCCATTTCTTTTCAATGCGATAATGTCGGTGACTAATACTTTATATGTTGATAAACTGGAATCTGCCGCTGATCGGGGATTAATGATAGATAATGAAGCAATTAGGACTGTTTCGGTAGAAGTTATGGTTGCCGGAACGAAATCGGATGAGTTGATTAAGAGTTGTTTGGTGTTGTGTTTATGGTATAATAGTCCAGAATTGTTTAGACAACGTCGATATCATTTATTAAATACAATTTGTGTTTCTTTGCTACATGATTTAGGAATTTTATCAAGATCGACATATTTATATAATAATGGAGTTGGATCAGTGACTGAAAAAGTTGACCCCAATAAGGGAAATAATGAATATCGTGCCTTGATCTTAACGATCTATTTCACAAGTATTAGTATTTGTCTTATCTTAAGAAGGAGGATATATGTCAGGTGGACTCCATATGTTGAAGAATGTTGTTGTGTATTAGAAAAATCTCTGGAAGAGAGATATAGAAAATTAGCATTATTTTCAAGATTGAATCATATGTTGGACAAAATCCATCATATAATTCATGCTCCAGATACTGCCGAAAAAAGAACCAGTACCTCACTGTATATAATTCAAGAATTACAAAAATCCTTGACTGTGATTAGACATCAGATTAAAGACGATGATCATGCTAACTTGGCCTATTATTTCTCGGTGGAGGCTTACTTGCATGAACCTTGTCTAGCTGATGTGTTCACCCGAGACTCAGATGAAGAAGGCGGCGATGGTGAGAATCTTGAAGGAGGAGTGAAATTAGACCCTAAAGCAGTGAGATCAATTGCAAATTGTACGAATTCTTGCTTGAACGCCTTGGATGAATTTAATCAATTGACAAGTATTGAAGTTGCCCTGAGTCCATTATTCCATGGGACAAGAATCATATATACAGCTGGGATGTTATTGAGATTAAGGTATTTGATAATGTCCTTACCTTCATTGATTGAAAAGGATTTGGTTCCACAACATGCAGTAACTGCAATCCAAAGGACTAATAGATTAATTGAACAAGCTAATCAACTGCATCCATCTAATCATTTTTTGAAAAAGACAAGATTAGTATTACAATTGTTTATTCAGACTTATGCTGCACAAGTACAAGATTTATTAAAGAAGAATAACGGTGATACACCTCAGAATTTGAGACCTCTTGAATCATCTGATCGTCATTCCCATCACCATAAACAAACGAAGAACTCACTGTTGGCGGCTAGTGATGATGCAGAAAAATATTCAATCCCATTGGATATTTTATCGTATGCAGCAAGTGTAAGAAGAGAAAGTAAAAACGCTCAAAAACGATCAAATTCAGAAACTGGTATGAAAGAATTTGTACCTCCTCCTACATTTGCTTCAGCTGGTAATACTCCAGTTACTGGATTACCACCACCTCCACAATCACAATCAATGCTGACTCAACAATCTCCCTCCCAACAAGCTCGTCAAGTTGCAGTTCGCGTCACCGATCAACAACAACAGCAACCTCAACCACCAAATGGACAATTCAATCCCCCTATGCAACAACATCACCCACAGCAAACACAACATATGTCACATCTCTCCTTCAACGGCACGACACCCCAGTTCACCCCACCACCCGCCATGCATTTCACTAATGAAATGTATCGACTCCCTTCTATCCCAGGCAGTGTTTCCAACGGACCAATTGGCGGTGTACCTATGGGTAGGTTTAATCCTAATTTAGCCCAGCCTGATCATTTGGAGAGTTCATATATGCATTTGAATGATGAGTTTTGGGCTGATTTGTTGAGTACTGATGATGCTACTGATGGAATCAATTTTAGTAATAATAATACTAATATTGGACAATTGAGAGATGAAGTTTTTTTTAATTGATAGAGAATGGATTTAATTATTTAATTATTTATTATTTATTTATTTATTGTATAGTGTATTTGTATCAAATGTGAGATTTATTTATTTGTATCTTTTTTTTAGTCAATTGGCAACAATGGTATTGTACTTGGTAGCACAAGATATCGTTTATCCACTATAGTCTCTCCTAAAGAGTGTGTACCTTTTGTTTCTCTGATAATCCATTTGGTTACGTCATTGGAAGCCAAAATTTTAACCAGAAAAAAATTATTAGGAAGTTTGGTTTTGCATCACCTTATATATTCTCATCATTCAAATCAACCAAATTTCATTTTCTAAATCTCACTCAATTCTTCCTTAAACTCCACCCACATAATGACAAGACAAGCGAGAAACAGATTCAATCTTATAGACATCCTCCAAATCCTCAGTGGACTCCTCCTCCTAAACGCCTTCCTATCATGGTGGTTCACATCCACCCCTACTTGGGGCTATGAAGGAAAATGGATCAATCCATCCTACTTAAAACATCGTTTCATCTCCCCCACCCTCCTCAATCTAAGCATATCCGAACTAGCATTATACAACGGGACCGACTCATCATTACCCATATACGTAGCCGTCAATCATCGAGTATATGATGTGACTGCGGGAACCAGGATGTATGGCCCAGGAGGACCCTATAATAAATTGAGTGGAAAAGACGCCAGTCGTGTCTATGTGACTGGATGTTTTATGAATCCTGGGGAATTGACTTATGATTTGAGAGGATTGGATGAGAAGGAAATTAAGGAAGCATTGGATGGTTGGGTATGGTTTTTTGAAAATAATGAAAGATATTGGTATGTTGGGGAGGTGACATGATCCAATTGAAGGTGATCCTCCAAGACCTTGTGAACATGTGAAATTCCCAGGTCAGCATCGTTTTAAACAAAGTTGAAGATGAATAGAGGTATAGTTAAGTTGTGTATAGTAATACAAGGGCAATGGGGATTCTATTAAAATAATCTGTTATGTACTATATATAATCTAACAAGCATCTAAACTTTTCTTTAACACTTGTAATAAATCAACCGGATCTTCTAAACCAATACTAATTCTAATCAAATTACGATCAACTTCCCATTGTGCAATCTCTTCCAATTCCTGATAATGAGCCAAGATAGCATATGGACAAGCCAATGTGAAATTCGTACCTAATGAAGGCCCTTTATGTAAATTCACTGCATTGAAAAATTTCACCGCTTCATCAGGATCATGAAATAAGAATGAAATCAAACCTCCATATCCACCATTATGTGTCTTAATATCATCATAATGTTTTTTGGATGCACTTAAAGATGGATAATAAACTTTTGAAATTAATGGAGATTGAGACAATAATTCGACGACTTGTTCAGCAGTTTGATCGATTTTATGTACTCGACTGGCAAAATCTCGTGAATTACGTTCTAACCATAATGCATCTTCTGCCCAGAATAAATCTTCATATTCTTCATTGAAAAATTTCTTTAATGTTGGATAATATGATGACAAGGGGTTTAAAATTAATGAACCTGCCAAGACATTGGAATCACCGGAAAACACCTTGGTTAATGAAGAAGCAACCATATCGGCATAAGGTAATACATGAATATTTAAGAAATTCCCTACAGTTTCATCAACCACCACAGCGAAATTATATTGATCTGCCAATTGTCTAATTTTTTTCAAATTTGGAGTTTTTAATAATGGATTCGATGGACATTCACAAAATAATGCCATTATATCAATTTCTCCAGCTGCTAATTCTCTTTCAAGTTCTTCCAAAGATTCATCATCTCCCATTCCTAAGAAATAACACCCTGCACCAAATTTCTTTAAGATATTTAAAGTATCAACATATGGGAATCCAAAACATACCGATTTCTTAACTTGTTTGGAAGTTTTTAATAATGCATGATGGGCATAGAAAATCGATGCCATTCCTGAAGGGAATAGGTAAACGTCTGTTTCACTTAAATATTTCCCTCTTTTCGCCTTTTCCATTTCTTCCATTTGATTCTTTGATTTATCAGCTTTCCCACAGATTCTTCTTCTTAATGCCCTTTTAGCTTCAGTGGCAAATTTCAAATCTAAGACTCTACCGTGCTTCTGTTCGATGAACGTATCAAGTTCTTTATCTAGCTCATCTACAACTCCATTGCTATTGCCATTTCTTGAATTACTATGAGATCTGTTGGCACTGATCGAAGGAGAACGAGATTGGATCTTTTGTGCTTGAAGTTCTGACTTCATCATACTTGATCTCCTACTGTGTGGACCTTGATCTTTTTCCTTTTCGAATAATTCATTCAAGATATATTCCCCCATTCTTGAGCTGATTCCTTCACCTGAATGTTGCCAATAATTTTTAGCTAAATGATAAACATCAGCTTGGAAAAATACAACCCCAATACTAGCTTCTACAATCATTGATTTTTCTTCTTCAGTCTTTGGCAGAGGAGTACTTAATTGTAAAACTCTAACTTTCACCAGTGGAGATTCCAGTTTTGATTTAATAAATTCTCGACATCGTTTAGCTACTTTATAACTTGGATAAACCATACACCTTTCCCCCTCTCTTCCATATTTATATTCTATCTTCCTACATAATTCTTGAATTATAGGATGGATGAAAAATCGAGGATATCCTGAATTCATCTTTGAAACTACCCAATTCTCACCTTCTTCATAACCAACAGTTGCTTCCCAAGTTGGTAATGTGACTGATACCGCATGAGGTATGTTTGGAATAGGAACACCTATCTCCTGTGATGGCGACGTGTACATCATATTGCGTTTGACGGGCTATGCTTTTGTAGTGACCTTGGACTTTGAGTTTCGGTTAGAGATGGAGAAAGTTTAAAAGTTGGTTGGTAAGAAAAATCTGAGTCACTTTGACGGAAGAGCTACCAACCGCGGCGAAAAAAAAAAAAGAAATTGGGATGAAAAAAAATTGCGGTGCGGTGNTGTCGTAATAGTCGCGAAACCGACATATTTAAAAGTAATGTCGTGACTATACGACAGCGGTGGGGACAATAACAGAGTCAATTTTGTTCTTCCTACTGGTAATATAATGCTTTTGAGTAAGACTAACCGATCTACATTTCATACAACAAGGTAACATAAACGGAGATATGTATAAAATGATAGATTCTGGAAAATGCAACCATGGCTCCTTCGCAATGTTTTAGTCTTGAATATAGACCATTCATGCATGACCATTTGAGTCAGGGACTGTCGTTGCAAGCGGCGATTTTTTGCACCCAAATAAAGACATAGAGAAGAATGCCTTACAATTGCAAACAATTTTTAAAGTACAATAAAAATGCTTTTGATATTCTTTCACAAATTATACAAAAAGATTTAATTAAATACAACCAAACAATTATACATTATATAGTTCCCCCAATTTTTCTTTTTCTCTAAGTAAAATTAAACTAAAAAAAATCCTTAAAAGACAGACCCACACTCACACACACTCTCTAACTATCTGTCAACTCAACTTATGATTTTATGCAAATAGTTGACCCCTCTTTAAGACGTTTCAAGTCCTCTTCACTAGCTTTTCCATTTCCATTCACAGCAGCAGGAGCAGCTGGGACGGCCCCTTTTCTATTATGTTGCATATGAGATTGAACTAAATGACCAGCGGCCAAAGCCGAACATAAAGACAATTCAGCAGCCAACACGGCTGATGCAACAATCTTAGCCAATTGTCTAGCATTATCACCAGGATTGGTTGGATGTGGACCTCTGACTCCTAATAATTCCAACATTGCCCCTTGTGGTTCTAAAATCGTTCCACCTCCAATAGTCCCAACTTCAATCGATGGCATAGAAACTGAAATTTGTAAATCACCAGTTACTTTATCTTTATTCATCAAGGTTATACAATTTGATGATTCAACATTTTGAGCTGGATCTTGACCACAAGCTAAAAATACAGCAGTGACGATATTTGCCGCATGAGCATTAAATCCACCAACTGAACCAGCCATGGCTGATCCAATTAAATTCTTGGAAATATTTAATTCAACCAAAGCTTCAACATCAGATTTTAGCACCTTTTGAACCACATCACTTGGGATTCTAGCTTCTGCGACAATCGATTTCCCACGACCTTCAATCCAATTTATGGCAGCTGGTTTTTTATCAGTACAATAATTCCCGGAAACTGAAATCACTTCCATATCATCCCAACCACATTCTTCAACCATATATTTCAAGGCATATTCAACCCCTTTGGAAATCATATTCATCCCCATGGCATCACCAGTAGTGGTTCTAAATCTGACAAATAATAAAGTTCCAGCTAAAGCAGTTTGGACATGTTGTAATCTTGCAAATCTTGAAGTTGAATTAAATGCCTTCTTAACAGTTTTTTGCCCTTCTTCAGAATCAATCCATAATTTAGCTTGACCGGCACGAGCCAAAGTTGGGAATCTAACACATGGACCACGAGTCATACCATCACGAGTCAAAACAGTAGAAACACCTCCACCGGCGTTGATTGCTTTACATCCTCTCATTGTCGATGCGACTAAACAACCTTCAGTAGTAGCCATTGGGACTTGATATGGAGATCCATCGATAATTAATGGACCAGCAACTCCAACGGGTAATGGCATATAACCAATGACATTTTCACAACAGGCACCAAAAACACGATCATAATCATAGTGTAAATAAGGTAATCTGGCAGTTTCTAAGACTGGGACATTGGCGATTTGGGCAATTGCTTTACGACGAACCATGACGGCACGGGTATTATCTTGTAATTGTTTTTCCAAGGCGTATAATGGTAATTTCCCATGTACTACTAAAGAAGTAACTTCATCATTGGTTAAGGTTCTGACTTTTCCTTTCTTCATAATATCAATGCATTCTTCTAATGGAAGTGGTTCATCGGTTGAAGAACGGAGTTTTTCATCAATTTCATATTCAACTTTTTTGGCTTGTTCTTCTTTTGGTCTAGCAATTTCTTGTTCAATTAATTTTTGAGTAGCTGAACTTTGATATCTTGATGCATTCAAGAAATAAACATTGACAACAACTGAAATTGCAAATCCAAATAAAATGAATTTAGAAATTATTGAATCCATAATTGCATCACTAAATTTCTTTAAAGCGATAAATAATAAATCTTCAATTTGAACCAATGTACTTAAAGGCATATAATATCTAGTTGGTAACATAGTAACAATAGTTCCTTTTTCTCCAATATCAATTCTTTGAATAATTTCATTAGCCAATCTAGGAACAACATCCGCATTGTTTATTGAAAATGGTGATTCATCACTTGAAGTATTATATAACCAAGAACTACCTAACCACATAGCATGGAATGCGAAAAATCCAATACTCATAGCTACTTTGAATGATAATACTGAAGTATCAGTCTTTGTGAAGAAATTAGTTTCATTTGGATGTTCAATAGTAGATGATTGTTCAGCAACTCTAGCAGCTAGTAATGAAGAAACTCCTTCTTCTTGTAATGCATCTTGTAAATCTTCAGTACGACGAGCACGATTAATTTCAACTTTTAAACCTAAAATTGCTGAATAGAAAGTATAAACTAATAATAAATCAAATGATAAAATCAAACAACTCAAGATACAAAAGTTACGTAAACCAGTTAAATGGTTAGCATAAATTGCACATGAAGCTAAAGCACCAATAACAACAGCATAATCTCTTAAGATGGAAAGGGTATGGGACAGAATGGCATTTGAAACAATTTTAGGAACTTCTTCAGTACTTATAGTTGATTTTGTTTGAATTCTACCTGCAATTGAAATTTTATGTTTAAATCCAATAATTGCAACCAAAAATGGAATACCTTCAGAAAGACTTAAAAGTGAAACTTTAATATCTAATACTTTAATGGAAGTGAATAAAGCAAATAAAAATGCAAATATTGAAGATGCTAAAGTTGAAAAGGCTAACCAAAATCTTGAACCAAATTGTCTCATATCAATAAATACTTTAATTAAAGTATACCACATGGCAAGATAAGCAACAAATATTAAAATAATATCGAAATTATCAGCATTACGAATAGCATCTCTAATATTAAAAATACCATTCTTAAAATAATCATAATATTTGGAAAATCTATGAGATGATCTAACTTTCCAAGTAATACCATCATCTGAAACAATTTTATCTAAAGAATTTAAAGAAGATTCTAAATTGAATTGAGGAATTATAACCATTGGTTGACCATCATCACCAAGAAAAGAATCTGTTATTTCAGGTACATCATAATTATGAACTTTTTTAAATTTTAATGGACATACAGTATATTGAGTAACATCATGAGGATAATTTGATAAATCGTCAATTTGAATCCAATCATCCTTAATATCAGGCAGATGATAATAATTTATACCTTCTTGTGAAGTACTGGATGAGTCTGGAACATATTCCTCTACTATAGATAAATAAGCAATTGAAGCTAGTAATGAAGGAATGATTATAAATTGAATAGGACGATGAGCCGCAGTTTTGGCTATAGTGCTTGTTGCTTGAGTAATGAAGCTAAGCATATTTCTGTGGAATATTATTACTTCTTCTTTATAAATAAGTCCTTTTTGAACTTTGGAGGGGATATTATAAGTGGAATACTATCAACAGACGTTTTCCTACTTCTTTTAAGTTGAGTTGAATCTAACTGAATAAAGTTATAAAAGTTGGTTGGTAGTGTGCTAATTAAGTAAGAAAGAAAAAAAAAGTTGGATCTGAAATTTTTCGTTCGCTTCCAGTCGGTGGTCTGGCAGTGTAGTAGTAATTTTAATGCGAGGGAAAACGGAAATTGATTTTGGTTGCACAAACGAACAAAATTTTATACGACGAGGAGGAGGAGGAGGTGGAGTAAAAGTAATTTAAGGAGGAGAATTGGGAACAAAAACTTAAATGAATGGTAGGATTCAGTTGGATTTGGATTATATAGCTAGTTAATATATGATGAGTTCATATACTTTTGAATAGCAAAATGAAATAGCTAATGGAATTCTGTTTATTGGTTGGAAAAGAAAGAATGTGTGTATGTTCCTGTTTGTAGCCGTTTGTTTGTTTAATGGTTGTGGTTCAAAGAAAGATTTTTTTTTTTAGAATTTAAATTTAAACTTTTTATCTTATTGTTCTTTTTTCTTATACGACGAGAATTTTTTTAATATTGTTGGGAAATATAAATTCATAATTAACCGTTAATGCAACCCCCCCTATCTTTTACAATTTCTTATTTACGTCACTATATAAACCCCACCTGGAATTCTCATTTAGTTTCATTTGATGAAAATCTTTAATTAGTAATTACCAAGAATTTGGCTTTTATTATGAAATACTCCTCATCACTTTTGCCGGCTTTGTGTACACAATTGGACGTGGGCTGATTGGATATGGTAGCCCAGTATATTGTATTACATGAAACATCGATAGCAAGATAACCAGAATCAAATTATGAAAGGGAGTTCTCATTATGTTATTGCTGTTTGTATATTAGCATCGTAATGTTAACTACAAATTTAGAGACGTCTACTACTTGATTAGTCCATGCAGATTAAAACGGCTTATTTTTGGCTGCAAAAACGATTTATTTTTTGATACCTACTGAAACAAGATGCAACGGTCGCCCAACTGAAGTTGGCGGAATCCTACTTTATGTCAATCCAGTGGAAATTTCATTGCATAGATCCTTTTAGATCTAAGTTTTAGATCCAAGTATCCTGATGTTACAGTTTCTCGAACTGGAAAAAATTCGGCATGACGAATTAACTTTTGCGACGCGTCTTCTATTTTTTTTTTTGCTGCCTGATTTAGACCTGCGTAAGGTTTGAAATGGCTGCAAAGAACCACAATTTTCAGAAGCTTCATTGAACAATGGAATTTGGTTAAATGACAATCTAATCTAACAAGAGAGAAAGTCTGTTGATTCTTTATTTCACAAGAAATTTCTTTATCAAGAAGGCATGTAAGCCCAAATTCTTGACCATTTGGAATTCTTGGCTCTTATTGACAGGCGGAGGGGTGACATAGGAAGTGTGCACTCCTCATTCGCTACACAAATAGAGACTAATTAAATGCACTAAATAATCATATATTTCAGATGATAAGAATGCCTACATACCTATAAAATTAACTAGAAAAAAAAGCCTCCCCGTGATTTCCTTCAACCATATTAGTTTATCGATTAACTGGTTCCCTTTTCCTTAACTCTCAATACCTGAGAAACAGAATCTATAACAGTTCTATCAAGCGGAATATACTTCAACCCCAATACCTCATTGCTTTTATCAAACTGATCAATTGCAAACTGTGAAACGTCAACCGAAACATCGGGTAAATCATATTTATCTGGGAAATATTTACTAATAAGCTCAACTAATAAATCGCTAGTTGATTTCCCATTCACCGCAACTAATCGTTTCCCAACTGCTGCCCCCGAATTAAAAGCGACTATAATTGCTCTAGCAACATCCCTGACATCAGTAGTAGGAAGTCCAAATTGTGGGATTGGATCTTCCTTTTTGAGAGTGACTAATTGACAAAGGAAATTACTTGAGGAAGGCATTGGGTCAGTAACATCTTCATCGAACACTAATGGACCATATGATCCACCAGGTAAGATTGTTGATAATTTGAAATTTGGATTCTCGGTTTCAACGAATTCCCAAACCAATTCTTCGGCAATTCTTTTGGAATAGCAATAAGCCAACATTTTATCCGATTTTGATTGATCGAAAGTTAATTCATGCCAAGTGTTGTCTTTAAGTGGATGTGTGGTATCAAATAATTTATTTGGTGGCTCCATGACGAAGATACTAGACGCATAAATAACTCTTGTAACCTGAGGAGCATGAGTTTTGATCGAGGCAAAGACATTTTTGGCGAAGTCAACAGTAGGTTTAATAATCTCATTTTCTATGTCGTTTCCGGACGTTGGTGGAGTAGCAAGATGTGCAACAACTGTGATATCTGGATGTTGTTTCAAGACTTCATCAATTGCTCCTTTGGATTCTAATTTGGGAACTACTTCAAGTGTTAAGTTTTCATTGTTGAAAAGTTTGGAATACCTCTCCGCTTTCTCCTTTGTTCTAATCGTCCCAATTACTTTATAACCAGAGAGTAAAAGTTGTTGAACAAGATGTTGGGCGATATAACCATTTGCACCCGTGACCAAAACAGTAGTAGAAGACATCTTGGTGTTTGCGATAATGATAAAATCAATTGAATTTGGATCCTATCTTTGGGATTTAGAACTCATATTTATACCTTTACTCCGCTAACTAAACATGCGGATAGCAGCCTCTAACGTACTCTTTCAATATTTTCTGATTGGTTGTCAAAGAAGGAACCGACGGAATGGGATCATTCCCTTATATAGACGGTACTAATCTACCCCACTAAAAGAGCCCCCCTTTTCATACGTTTTTGCCAATCTCAGAATATTTTTCGGTAGTAAACCCTATAACCGTCGCAAGCGAATAGTCCTTAGTAAAACCGATGAGAGCAAGGATAATCACCGATATAATCACCGAACTAATCACCGAACTAATCACCGTGGATTTATGCATTTCTCAACAACAAGCCCTGATCAGCTTAATACCTCAACTTACATCGGTATCCTGATGGGGTAGATATACTCCACCTCGTCAATCTGGGCTATGATTAGGAGAAAATGCTTGAGTTTTGTCGGCGTTCCCTTTTAGGAGGGTATTATTTCCGTCATAAGTATACTATATGTCCCATCACCAATGTCATTTGGGCACAATTACACCCGGCTACTCTCTCCTGGAAACGGATTTATCCCCTTGTCAATTATTTGTGCTTAATCGTCTGCCGGTTTTTATATTTTCGACAGCATATTGGACGGGAGGTGGAATCTTTCACTCCCTTTATTCAAATTTGTGTAACATTTTATCTAACTACAATCCCTTCACTATTCGTAGTCCACAACCATATATAGCAGCTTGAACGTATTCATGCAACTTTTCAGACATGGAGCAAACTGATCAGAAATGATAGTGCACTACTAATTAATTGGTAGTTCTTTAACACATAGGTTGGTGCAAATCCATTTCTGGTTGCAATAAAAAAAAAATTGGCTGTGAAAATTAACGGTTGTGGTAGTACAGGGAGATTGGGCAAAGAGAACAACTTATGCACCGAGTCTAGTGGTTAATATGAAGCGTCTTATAAGCTACGGATTGCTCCCTACAAAGTCATTTAAAAAAAAAAGTCAAATTCAATTATAAACTAAAACTAATATGCTAAAAATTAAAATAACATCTCTACTGCTTCGTTAGCATTGTTTATTTCAAAGAAACTAATTTAATATCAAAAGTTAATTCAGAGTTAGCTGGAATACCAGGTAAAGATTGAGAACCATAACCCATCTTAGCTGGAATGATAACTCTTCTTTCACCACCAACAGCCATACCAGCAACCCCTAAATCGAAACCTTTGATACATTCACCTTTACCTAAACCAAAGACAAATGGTTTACCAGAAGTGTTCTTGTCAAAGACTTTACCATTCTTTAATTTACCAATGTATCTAATACCAACCTTGTTACCAGATTTAGCAGTTGGTCCTTTACCGACTTTTCTATCTTCAGTAACAACACCACCTAATAAGGTCTTAGTTGGGAATTTCTTGGTTTCTTCTTTCTTATCTTCGGACTTCTTTTCTTCCTTCTTGTCCTTTTTAGCTTCTTTCTTATCCTTCTTGGATTCTTTCTTTTCAACTAAAGTAGAACCAGTTGGTCCTTGTTCTAAATCTTTAGTGAATTGAACAGACTTCTTGTCTTCCTTCTTAGCCTTCTTAGATTTCTTAGATTCAGCTTCTTCAGCACCTCTCTTCTTTGATGGCTTTTCTTCTTCTTCGAGAACTTCAATCTTAGATTGTTCTTCTTCGTCAGATTCTTCATCGTAGACGTCCATGTCAAGACCATGGATTATTTCATCTTCATCTGGGGTCAAGTCGTATTCATCTTCATCTAAGTAGTCTTCATCGTCAGAATCTTCATCAGCTGGGTGTTCGACGTAGTTACCAGTTAAATGAATTGGGTAAGAACCAGTAACGACAAAGTATACATCTTCATCTGGGGTGATGGTAAGGTCAATGGTTTGTTGGAATTGGACCTTTGGAGATAAAGTACAGAGAACATATTCTTCAACATCATCATCTTCTTCATCTTCATCATCTTCGTCTTCGTCATCTTCTTCGTCTTCTTCTTCTTCTTCCTCATCGGTCTTTTTCTTACCGGCCTTCTTTGGCTTTTCTTCTTTTTCTTCTTCTTCATCGTCTAATTCGTCTTCTTCTTCAGCTTCGTCATCTTCTTCAGCTTCATCATCGTAGTAATCTTCATGATCAACGAATGGATTAGATTTCTTTAAGATTCTTAAAGTAGATGGTTCTGATTTATCATCAACAGCTTCAGGATCAACTGCAGCTAAAGTTATTCTAATTGTAAGTGGATAATCATCTTCAATTGCTGGAGCTGGTTGGAATGGCTTTAAAGCTAAGTTATAAGTTGAGAGTGGGAGTAAATTGGCCATCTTTAATTAGTTCTATTCTATGAATTTCTACTGTTGTTAAAGGAGAATTGAAAAGAGAGATGAGATGAAAATTTCAATCTTTTTTTTTGTTACATGGAATATTCTGCTGCGATGAGATCTCTTACAAATTTGGATTCTCTTCGACATAGGAGTGTGTCGCGACATACATGGATCGACAACGTGGAGATTACAATGGATAACTTCAAACTAAGTGGCGCGTACAATGGATAACTACAAACTACGAGTAAAATGGTTTCCTTATTTCGTTTTTAACTGTATTAAATATACAAAGGGGTGGGGTTTGTGATGTGGAGGGGGGTACACCTATAAAAGAGACAAGTTTTCATAAACTAAAATTAACAAGAATAATAATAATAAATTGAACAAAAACAAATTTTGAAAAAGAATTAACCGTGATATTATATTATTATAAACATCTCTTTCCCGAAAAAGTATTTCCTCAATTATGTAATTTGATTTGGTAGTTTATACTAAAAAACTTAGAACTTTAATAAGTGTGGTCTGTCACCGCTCTTTAAGGAGAAAGAAGCAGATAAGTATTGTTTTAATAATGGGGTCTTCTTGATTTCAGCTAATAAAGCAGCATCAACAGATTTTTGATCAGCAACTCTTTCTTCCTTGATTTCCTTCTTTGGAGCAGCTTCGTTGAATAAATCAGCTTCAGATTTCTTTTGAGATCTGGTTAATTTTTCTCTGGCAAAGTATTCAACGTTGAATTTGGAAACATCAACACCTTCAACATTAACCTTGGTGGAGGTGGCAATGACGTAACGAGCATTGACTCTTCTTAATGGAACACCATTAACCTTGAATGGACCAGAAACTAATAAAGTGTTGTCTTCTAAGTTCTTTAAGTAAACAACTCTCTTACCTCTGAATCTACCGGCTAATAAGATTAAGACGGTACCTGGAACTAAGGAGGCACGTAATTTTTGAGGACGAGCAGTCTTTCTAGCTTGCTTAGCGACTGGAGCGTCTTCAGATGGGTACCACTTTGGAGCCTATAAAATATATTTGTTAGTATAAAATGTTCAAAATTTCTTTTTATAAAGGGAGACTTGGATTATGCATTTATGGAAAATGATTCAAAAATGATTCTTGTATTCCTATGAATGTGCACTCGGTTGTTTCCTTCTCGATGTACCTTAATAGGACCGTATGGTTGTGATAGACTTGGTTCTCTTCGAAGTCGATATGAAATCTTTAATAATAGTTGATATGTTCAAACTTGGTCTTTCGCTTTCCTGAATACAGTAAAACTGCTAAATCATAGCAGGCCATTCATAATTCATATGCTTGAATATGTCCTTCTTTGAATATTTTTCAAATTATCATATTGCAAAATTTTATCGAATTTCACTGAATTCCATCCCAGTACTAATTTATGATATTCCCGATGCTTATTTGTCCTCCTTAAATGCTCTTCCATTTGTTCATCCCCTGATGAATCCTCTATTATTCATTATAACATACAACTTGACTCATTGTTGATCTAATATTATGGGTGTTAGTTTCTACTACAAAAAGGTTCTATAAAATTTTGAAAAAGATTTTTTTTTCAGTAAAGAATTTTTCCTTCACTAAGCAGAATGAGTGTGAATGAGTAACAGAGACAGAGACTGTATGAGGGTTTCGCACTATCACCAATACGTTTAGTGCGATACTAACAATTTGTGTGTGACTAGAAAAAATGTAAAAAAAAATGATAGAAACAGTCGTGTGCCAACACAATTTTTCTGTTCATTATGCAGTTTATTTCTTAGTATTCACGTGATTGAAAAAAGCAGTCACAAATTTTTCATCGAATTCACGTGAATGTCAGCTGAATTGGTATGCGCACGCTACAAAAGCAGAAATTGGTGGAAGTGAATTACATACAGTTCTATTGAGTTAGATCTTTCTACTTACTATGAAAACTGTGCATCACTCAGATGGCACTCCTCTATGAAGTTTGGGCAATTCGCTTCTGCCTATGTTTTGATTTAGACCAAATGGTAATGGATCGTATGCAGAGCTTGCTCTTGTTCCAAGAACTGATTTTTTTACATCAAATCCACTCTCACGCTTTACTATTACAATGGCTGCAAAAAAATCAATGAATAATATTATACAAATGTACACACTAGAAACAAAAGGTTTATAAAATTTTACGAAAAGTATTTTATATTAACAACTACTTCTCCATTACCAGCATTTAAGGTAACATTCTCGCTAACGTTGACGTATTCCGATAAGATAATTGATGTCTTTCCCAATGAAACGTCCTTACCAAAAGTATGATGTTCTTTAACGTCAAAGATAATTTCACCAGCAGCAGAAGATCTAAAGGAGACACTTTCATCCCAATGATAATTCTTCTTTTCTTTGTCAAGCTTTTTATGCTTTGTCTTTATCAATTGCTTTTCTTTGGTAGAAGTCTTCAATGTAACCTTAACAACAACTGGATCATCAGTTTCAAAGCCACTGGCAGACACAACTGTAATTCTACCAGGAGCAGCTTCTGGTCCATTTATACTAGCCGCAAACACACTGGAAGCAACATCAATGCTACCTCTATTGTGTTGCGGCACACCAAGTCTTTGTGGTGATGGTAAATCTGCTTCGCGAACATTGGGCTTTGCTTGCTTTCCACCAACAGTTCCTTCTTGTTCTATTCTTAATTCTGCTTCATCTTTAGTCAAATCAAGAGTATTCTTTGACATAGGACCAGAACTTTCTCGACGAATCTTACCAGTGCCGGAACCAGCAGACCCGTTATTACCATTGGAACTTCCTGAACTAATCGATCCGCCATCATCCTTGCTTTTGCTCTTTCTTGGCTTCCTAAAACCCTTAATGAAACTGGTAGCACGGTCGAGACCCTCACCAACAGCATCTACACCTCCACCAATAACACTGGTTGCAGTACCAACACCTCCTCCGACAACATCAGTCGCCATGCCTACACCAGATCCGACAGCGCCAACAACATCTTCTGCCGCCTTCAAACCAGTATCACCAAGCAAGGCCAAATCGAGAACAGACAACGAGTCAGAAATCAATGGAGGTCTAATATATTCAGGTGTAAAAGTAATACGGAGTACTACTTCACCTTGAGTATCCAATTTAACAGAAGCCGGAGTTGCAGTCAATGGCAGAATTCTTGAAATATCAAGATTACCAACCCCAAGTAATTCATCATCATGAGTCAAATCCCAATCATAAACTTCCACGAGCAAGACTTGACGAGAACGAGATTTCATTGGGAATTCTATAGATTCATTCCATTCTGGATCTAATGACTTCCTCTTCTTGTCTGTCCTATGAATTTCAACACCATCGAGTTTAATAACACATAATGGATCGGATTTACCGTTGGAATCGACTGCCTTTAAGTTACGAGCTCCAATGATTTGCATGTTGATCTTACCGACGTCAAGAACTGTATCTAATGGTGCTAATTGGGCTAAAGATGGAATGAATTCCAATCTAACTTGAATGGAATTTCCGTCACCAAGATCAAGTTTGATTGGTTTGCTGAATGATTTTTTGTAGATGTCAAGCGTGTTGAATACTTTTTCCGCATACACGTCTTTCGCATTGGTAACCTCGACAGTCTTTGCAATACGGAAGACTAATAAGGAATTAGGCAAGTCACGTATAAATGTCTCTCCACTAGATATTGTACGTAATATCTTTCCATCGGATCTTGGAGAAACGCCAGAAGGATAGGAATGATCATCAAATAAGGTATGTACAAATACATCCGACTTAGTAAAACGTCCACTTATTAAATGAACAACCATATTCCCGGCACGATGTTTAATTGCCTCTTCCAATTTGATTTCAACCTTAGGTGCAACATTGGCTTGATCGTCAGTAAGCTCCATCCATTCAAATTCATCAGGAGTTTCCTTGTACATCTTTTCTTCCTTTTCTTGTCTTTCTCTATCACGCTGTCTCTGCTCTTCGAGATGTTGTAAGTATTCATCCTTATGTATAAGCTGTGATAATGAATATGCTGGAATGGTAGAAAAGAATGAAACTGAATAATAGATGGTCCCAATAGTTTCCTTGTTGAATAAAACAGGTTGTTCGATAATCTTGTCAGCCCCATCAAAATCCATCCAATATCCATCTTTATCTTTAGTCAAGAAATCTTGAATATTAATTGCAGCAGTACCCAACGATCTATCTTTTCCTTCAGGCTCAGCATCCATAATTTGTAACAAATAATGCTGATGTTCATTGGCAACTGGTAAGAAATAAACCGAATTCCAAACTGGATTAACCGTATCAGCAAAGGTAACAGTCTTGGCTCTCAATTGACCATTCAAAAGAACCTTAACATAAGGATCAACATACCCGACAGCTTCCAAGTTCTTAAGATCTTTAGCTCCTCTGATATGTAATCTCATACCACCAATAGATGCATTGTTGTGAGTCTTGACACCAGAATCCTCGTCAATTGCTAATGGTTTCCAATTGGCAGCAAGCCTGATTTTTGGGGTAGGTAAATCAGGACCAACAGGTTGACATTCAAACCATTCCTGTCCACGAGAACTTTCAAAAACTACATCTTGTAAATTGACTTGTAAATTTGCCACGACTTTATTGTCGACCGAATCTCTAACCAAGACTTGAATTTCAGTTTCTGATTGTTGAGTTATAAGAGATTCGAATGATTCTTCCCAGGATGGTTCATTGGTATCTCTTAAATGACGACAACTTTTAGCTAATTCGTTATTAACATAGATTTCAGCAAATGGGTTTAATATACCGATAACTGATTTGGAAATATCTAAATCACGAGCTTCATGTAATGTGAGCTTCATAAGACCAACTTCTGCATCAGTAATAGTTTCTTTGGATCCATCTTCATAAACAATTGGTGTCATGGTTGGGAAATATTTAATATCAAAATTCAATTTACCGACAACTTTACCACTTTGAGTGATTGATTTGTTTATATCCATTTGCAGTTGATTTTGCAATAATTCACCTAATGGAAATTCACATGTTCCTATTATTTGATCATCGGCTTTATCTTCAAGTAAATGGAAAACATTAAATTTCAAGAAATTTCCTTCTAATTGATTAATCAAGATATACTTAGTTTCCATAAATATTGGATCATTAATTAACTTCTTAGTTTTCGTTACTTCATCGATTGCAGCATTGTTAGCTACGCCTATTTGAACATAAGGATTGATACTGTTTGGTTTAGTTGGATTACCTGTCTTTAATTTACTTGCACGTTTAATGGTGACTGCCACAACACCAACTGCATTGAATGAGTTCCAAGACAATAACTCTTCAATGTCTAAATCATAATGATTTGGTGCATAAAACATTGGTCTCAAAGTCGCATGAATAATACCGTTAACAAATTTCGACAATCCTGGAATAAATGACATAATATCAATACCAAAAGTATCACCACCAACTGGCTTTAAAGCATAATCAATAACTGGAGCTTCTAAAAATTGGAACGAAAATATCTTGACGTGAGGGAAAGTCTCCGTAAGTCTCAATTTAACCTTCATTCTACCAGTCATGGCCATATCTTCAACTAAAATTGGTAATGATTTGGAAATGAATTTCTTCCCAACAGTAACCCCAAGGGCAACTTTTGGATCAACTTTCTTTTTGATTTCATTTTTAGTCATGTTGTCAGTATCATTTGGAGTGAATGAAAAGGCCCAATCCATTTCAATAATATTTTTACCCTTCTTGGTATAAGACGTAACGGAATCAATAGTCGGAGCTTTTGAACCAAGAGTAAATTCATCTAATGTTAATTTTTCAATTCCAAATCCTGGTGCTTGGTCTTTTAAAATTTCATTTGCTTGAAACATGACAATTTCAGACATGGCAGGCATATAAATATTCCAAACCTTGGCTAAGAATGCATTCATCCATTCCATGGTTTCCAGTTCATTTGATAATCTATTGATTGCTAATTTTCTGGCGATATCATCCCTGACATTACGATTGAATCTTCTAAATTCAGCTCGATAAACCGAATTGGTAAATAATAAGACTAATCCAAGTGATAGTATTCCACCACCCCATCGAGCTACAAACCAAGCAAAGAAACAAGTACCTATCATCAAAGAACAATTCCAATACCAATCAACAACATAATGGTCAATTATATAGGTTTCTACTTTTTTGGAGTTTTTTAAAATGGCTTGCTTGTCCTTTGCTGAAACAATTGTCCAAGACCCCACATTATTCCACGAGAAGGTAGTGTTGTCTCTAATTCTAATAAATTCCGGTTTCTCTTCTTCTTTCTCGGTTGGTTCAACCTTACCATTGATCACGTTAGTTTGCGTATTACCATTTGATAGATTACCATCGCTGACTTGAATTCTTGGGGCTTCAGCCTGCCCCTCCTTTTTCTTCTCCGATATTAGTTTTGATTGAGCCTACGTGAAATGTTAGTATATCATCAAATTAATGCATCGTCAACTTCCTTCTCTCGTACATTTAGATCTAATTGAATTAATTTGCAAACGTATACCAATGGGATAATATTGCTGTCCTGAATTGATTATAGGGGTACGGGAATCAAGGGAAATAGACAAGAAAAAAATACGAGCTGATTGGGGGGAAGGGGACTTGGATCAGCTGAAGGAAGCCTATACTGAGTTATACATACTTGATCCATTGACATTTATCCTGAATCGTTAAAAGGAGTCAATTGAGATTGCAATTGAGATTTAAATTCTTCTTTTTGAAGAAAGTAAAGAAAGATAAAACTTTAAAATGAGTTGTGGTTACGATTGCTGAGTTTTTTACAACCAAATTGTTCTCTGTATGGAAAAGGAAAATATGAAATTTTAACCAAGCCACACACAAAATGCAAAAACATGTAAAAATAAAATAATTGGCAACAATAAACAAAAACCTGTAAAGGAGAATTTCATCTTTTGTTAATTAGGGATATTTCCGTTTTTGTTACACTTTTACTCAATGGAACCTGTAAAAATATCTGAAGGCATAATATTTCCCAAAGCCATCTAACTTTGCTTTAGGAGGATACAATAAGAAAATATCTATATAGACTAAGTAATAATGGTTGTCAAGGGTACTTAGAATCCTTTAAGCATCAAGGCAAATTAATTTATCAACTGTACTTGACCGAATTTCGTTTAACTTTTAGTGGTAGCAGTCAATGGAGTTTCGTCAGAAATTGGTTGCAAAATTTTCAGAAACGTATTCCACTCCTCTACAGATTATTATCCTTGTATGGATGATTACTTTCTACGCACTTTGCCTCCTCGGGTAACAACCATGTAGAAGAAATGATTCAACAATACACCCGCCTTCTGATACTGGTTGCTTTTGATTTCCTGTATTCCATAGAAGTTCACATAACTCTCTTCGCAAGAAGTCTTGCTTAATGTATAGGAACAGAAGAATTAACAAAAACATAGCAAACAAGGCGACTTACAGAGACGATATGAGTGTCCTGATTAGAGCCAAACGAGGTTGATCGTTCTTTGATATTGCCTCTCTGGCCCACTATGGGTTTGAAGTACAGTACCGCCATTCCCAACTCTCATCTCGGTTAAGAAAAGAAATCGCGGAAAAAGAACCCTTAGAGAATCGATTATTGATAACAGCCATATCTTTGTAGCTAGATGTGCCTATCTCTACCTCTTGATACAAACTCGGTCTACATCTCCATATTCATTTTATTACAGATAAATCATTTATTATAAGTTATGTCGTTTTTGTATATTTATGTTACAAAAAATGTTAATCTTTTTAATTATTAAAATAACATTAAATCAATTAAAGAAAGAAATAGAAGAATCCCTTTTATATGTATACACTAGATTTCCTCTTTCCTTAAACAGATTCTAAGACAACATCCTTGAAACCGGAAGCAACCTTCTTACCCTTTTCTTCACCAGAACCTTCACCATGTAAAGCTAATAAAGCACCCAAGTCGAATTTTGGTTGTTTTAATAATTTAACCTTTCTAATGTGAACATTTTGTAATGGGTAGATGGTTTGAGTGGACTTTTGAATTTCACGGCCAATAACTTCTGGGATTAATTTAGAAGTTAATTGAGCTAAGGTACAGTTAGAAACTTCTCTTTGCATGATTTCAGTCATCTTCTTTCTGATTTCTCTTAATTTGGAAGATTGAGCATAAGTAGTCTTCTTGATTTGGTTAGCTTGTCTACTGGTGAAACCAATAGCGAAAACTCTTAAGACGTAGTCATCAGCGGTCTTAACAGTAACGTTAGCTTCAACTAAAGATTGCCACTTTCTAACTAAAGATCTTAACTTGTCAGAAGTGAAATCTAAACCGTGGAAGTTGGTTAATAAGTTTTTACCTTGAACTTCATCAACTCTCAATTTAACCTTTCTGTAAGAGTGGTCTTCAGAACCTTGTAAGTCAGCTAAACAGACTTCAAAGACACGACCCTTTAATCCATCAGCGGCATTCTTTAAACCGGTGGATCTGTTGATTAAAGTTTGACCAACATTTCTGTTTTCAAAAGTGGTTGGGGCTTTAATGTTAAACCAATCTTTTCTGGTGAATGGGTCAACGATCTTCTTCTTTAAACCCTTCTTACCCTTGGACAATCTCTTGTTTTTACCAACAGCCATGTTTAATATGTAGTTCAGGTATTAAGTTATCTATCAAGAAAAGAGAAAAATTTAGCTTTAAAAAACTTTTCTGTTGAAATTTTTTTCTAAGTGAAAAATTGCTATGGTAAGAATGAGGGAGAGAGAGATTGTAGTGTGCGCACTCGCAACAACATCAGAGAGACATTGAGTGCGCATTGACATTTTGGTTTGGGGAGTGCGAATGACAGAATTGTGCGATGTCTTTTAATATGCAGGATATCTCAACTATGTAATTAATAAGGTTTAATAGTGAGTGAGAGAAAAAATGTTCATTTTTACACTACCTTAATAGAGAAAATGGTGCTTCACGTGAACAATTTAGGGCAGCAACCCTAATTCTTATTTTATTTTCAAGGAGCTTATACTTGTAACAAATCCTACTGATTGTTGACAATAGATGTAATGGTTGAGATGCATACGAACTGTATCTGTAGAGGAATGACATATTACAGGATATACAATTCCTAGATTCCTTGTACGCTCCGATACTGTTCAGAATCATCTTCAAGAACACCAAGGAATTAGTTGTTCCAGGTAGTATTAATTATTACTGATTTAATCTATTTATCCGGGAGCGAAAATGAAGTATCACGAATCGGACGGAAAGAAGATGGATGAAAAATTGAGAATCAGGGTCAGCCGTATATTCTCGAGTAGTGAATATGACAAAAATAGAGGGTTGGCTTTTACTTTATTCAATGTTTTGCAAAGGTTAGGCAACTAAAGCAACTAGTTCAATTGTATATCATTGGTAAATAGTTCTTTTATTTTTCAGAGGGTGCCTTAACTTTTGGGAAATGTTGAAGAAAGGAAATAGCAAACTTCTAAGTTATCATTTCGGTTGTCTTGTAACTAATATTTTTTGACACATCTTAGCCTTAGAAGCTAAATTTGATCAATGCTAATTGTTAGTTCTGGCTGCTTAAATTTAATAAAATCTAAGTAGCTTCAATGACTATCACATCCATCTATACTCACGACTACGTCATTAATCCAACCTGAAAACCCAGCAGACAGTAGAATGGCTATGAATACCCTAACTGCGGTATTCGTTATCGCGCAGGACCTCTGCGAAACTTTCAAAATCAAGAGGTCTTTCAAGTATAGCCTAAATTGCTTTCTTTTGAAAGAGATTGAAATTTCCAATTCTATGACAATGAACAGTCCCAGCTCAAGAGGCGTTTTGGAATCTTGAATTGAAGTATTGGGGATAGTGACGCGTAAGACTGTCCCTTTTCCGCAGCTATTATAATCTCGAAGGGGCCATATTCTTGATCCGACGTGATTAATCAGTTATTGTCACTAAGATCATACTCATATCTGTCTTATCTTTAATGCAAGTAAATCCGTTCCTTTATATAATCTTAGAGAGTGTTACATGTATTCCTTAATTCTCTAACCCCTCCTTCTAATTTTAGGTGTATCAAATTTCAGTGGTTGCAAATTGCAAATTCCGGAACAACAAAAAAGAAGAATCTAAGAAATTAAAGAATCAAAGAAAAAAAAAAGATTTCGCTAATTTAAATAAAAATGTAAACAAACCAGCAAAATTAATCTTTGATTTACCACAACTCAAACCTTTACACTTTAATTCAGTTGGATACCACAGAAACCCAATAATAACTATTATATACAAAAGCACACTCACTCCAATCGTACAGATACCAATTGCTCGTTAATCATTCACAAAAGAAACACATCAAATATGTCAGAAGAAACTAATGAAGATCATGGCCAGTATGTATTTTCAAGCACCAGCATTTGATAAAACCAACAACACAGAAATATACTAACAAAATGATTCTTCTAGAGTTGCATTAAAAATAGGATTGATAGGAGATTCTCAAATAGGAAAGACGTCACTAATGGTCAAATATGTAGAAGGATCATTTGATGAAGATTATATTCAAACATTGGGAGTTAATTTCATGGATAAGAAAATCAATATAAGAAGTACAACAGTAACATTTTCAATTTGGGATTTAGGAGGACAAAAAGAATTTATAAATATGTTACCATTAGTATCAAATGATGCAGTAGCAATATTGTTTATGTTTGACCTAACAAGAAAATCAACATTAAATTCAATCAAAGAATGGTATAGACAAGTTAGAGGTTTTAATAAAACTGCTATACCATTCTTAATTGGAACTAAATATGATCAATTTATAGATCTTTCATTTCAAGATCAAGTGGAAATAACACAACAAGCTAAAAGATTCGGAGCTGCCATGCGATCACCTGTCATATTCTGTTCAACTAGTCATTCAATTAATATTCAAAAGATATTTAAAGTCATATTGTCTAAAGCATTTGATTTAAAGTTGAATATTGAAGAAATTGTCAATGTTGGTGAACCAATTTTAATATATCGATAGATGAACCCATTGTTTTCGCGCAACAACAGCAATTGCTTGTCAATAGGATAGATTCAATTCAATTACTGCTCTGTTCTTGTATTTCTCTCTAATAGCTCATATAGCTTTGTATAAAATAAATGTGATGATGTTAATGAAATTTGATTCCAAATCTCTCGGCGATTCTCTGATGTATTTTTTTCAACCGCGATTTATCAGTGATTATGATGTTACCACTTCAATTCATAAACAAGTAAAGGAAATGGCTAAGAAACAAAAGGATTTAGCAGGATGGCAATATATTCTAGCTGCAGAGAGCACTCCTGGGGCAACTGAAGCACAAACTCCCACTAGAAGAATTAGTAGAAGAGGTGCTCCATCTGCTGATCAAATCATACTAAAGCGAGACAGCGATGAAATGGAAATAAAAGTTGGTGACACAATTCTAGTCAATCAACAAGGAGAGACAGCCAACGATGTTGCATTGATTAAAGAAATCAAATTCGGAACTGATAACTTCATAGATTTGATTGTACTTTGGTTCACACTGGAGATTGACCTCAATAATGACAATTCCAAAAAAATCACAACTGAAAAGAATGAAATTTATTTAACTCCCTATTTGGATGAGATTCAATTGAGTGAGATTGTGTTCAAAGTGAATGTTCTTTCTGAAGCCGAATATTGTGATATTGTCATTGATGATTCCAATTCAAGCAATACCTTCATGGTAAGGCGGACATACAATGATGAGAGTGACAAAGTCAGCGAAACTTTTGACTTTCGTGAGGTGATGAATGCTTTCAAGAAAGATATAAATGGACTTGTTATATATGTGAGAAATAAAGCTGTTGATCCAGCTTATAAACAAACGAAATCCAATGCCCACGAAAGGCTACAAGAACTAAAAAAGAAACCAACAAAGCCAAAGCTAGTCTCCAATATTCCTACAAGCGATAATGACAACGAAGATGACGATGAAGATGAAGATGAAGATGAAGAAGAACAATACGAGAGCAGCCAAAATGAATCTGAACCTGAAGTTGATTCATCAGATGATGAGAACGGCTTTGAAAGTGCCGAAGAAGAATTTGGTACACGTCGTAAAAGAACCAAATCCACCAAATCCCCTAAGAAACCAACCAAATCGCGACGCAAATCAAGAATACCACTTTCATCCCCATCCTCATCCCCAAGAAAGAAGAATAAAGATATCGAAGATATCTATTCCACGGTATTATTTACTCCCAAGAAGAAGCCAAAATCAAGCAATATCCCCACTTTATTATCTTCCCCAGCGAAAGTTCCCACACATCAAAAAGCATTAACCGACCCAACTTCGGCCGCATTTAAAGAAATTAAGGCCAAATTACATACTTCCCAAAAATTGAATGCCTTACCTGGAAGAGAAGATGAATACGCCATGATTTACATGAATTTAGAATCGGCGGTAAATGAAGAAACGGGGTGTTGTGTTTATGTCAGTGGTGTTCCGGGTATGGGAAAAACTGCCACCATTAGGGATGTTATTGAACAAATGACCCAATCTTTTCTACTTGGTGAAATTAAACCATTTGATTATTTGGAACTTAATGGGTTGAAATTGTTGTCTCCGAATATTGCGTATGAAATGTTATGGGAGAAGATTAGTGGGGATAAAGTTAATCCAGCCCATGCTGCATTATTATTAGAAGAATATTTCAATCGTGAAGATAAGAAGAGAAAACCATTGGTTGTGTTGATGGATGAATTGGATCAAATAGCAGCTAAGAAACAAAATGTGATGTATAATTTCTTTAATTGGCCAACTTATAAGAATTCCCGGTTAATCGTTATTGCGGTTGCAAATACTATGGATTTACCAGAAAGAGTTTTATCAAATAAGATTTCATCTAGATTGGGATTAAGAAGAATTCAATTCCGTGGGTATACTTTTGACCAATTGGGAGAAATCATTAAGCATAGATTAGATTTGTTAACTAAGCATAGTAAGAGAAAAGTATCAATTAATCCCGATGCTATCGGATTCGCATCAAGAAAAGTCGCCAGTGTCAGTGGTGATGCCCGTAGAGCATTAACAATCTGTCGTCGAGCTGTTGAAATTGCCGAGAAGCAGTATTTGGAAGATCCAGATCGAAACGAAAAGAACGGAAATGAAGATGATGAAGACCAACCTTATCATGTTCTCATATCTCACATATCTATGGCTATTAATGAAATTGTCAACTCTCCATTAGCTCAATACCTTACCTCATTACCATTTGCATCGAAATTAATCTTGGTTGGTATGTTACGTAGGTCGAAAATGTCAGGATTGGCCGAGAATAAGCTCGGTGAAGTTATTGATGAAATGAAAAATACATTATTTAAAACGACATTTGACGAGACTTATCAAATATTGTCCCTGATTGATCCAAATTTAAATATATCTCGATTATTATACGCTGATGGTGTTTTTGGATCTAGTAAACACAAAGCAAGCTTGAGAATTGATCATTTTAAACAAGCGCTCGCTTCCTTAGCCGAGGCTGGTATTATAATTCAACAGAATGTTCCTAGTGAGAGATATAGGACAGTGCAGTTGAATATCTCCGAGGATGAGGCAATCTCGATTTTGAAGAGAGATAAGGAGGTCGCATATATGTTGGATTAAGCTAGATAGAGTGAGAGTAAGCTGTGGTATATATAATATGTAAAAATAAAAGCGTTTAATAGTGTGTGAAGGAGTAGCGTATGTTATTTGTATGTCTCGTTAATTCTGGCTGCGAATAGCCCGAGACTGGTCAACCCTACGATTTTGGGGCACCACAATTTCCCCCAACTCTCATATTTATACAAATTGTTTATGTCATTTAGGATGAGAAGTTTATTCGATTTAAAACATATTTCCAAGTAGTATTTGTAAGCGATAAACTCCCAGTTTTGAATCATTTGTGTCGGTTTGGATAGTTCGTTAGTTTTCTCCGAAATCTTTCATTTGGGGGAAACAACGCCAATGTTAGGAAAAATGATTCTTACCAGGAGAGTCGACGTTTAGGAAAACGATTTTCCTTATATCATTTAGTGTATGGATTTGGTTCCATTAAAACGAGGTATGCGAGTAATATTTGTGAGAGATTAACAGTCAAATTTGTACTTGCTTGTGAATGGCGAAACACCCCAACTAATTTTTGGCAAAACCGAGTTCCAGTCACGTTTTACAAGGTTGTTAAGAAAACTGGGGCACACTGAACAATAATTCAAATTAGCTCTATCATTTAATTTAAGATGCTTACTCCACTTCAATGGGATACTGGAGTAATATTTGTTAGTGATTAACAGCCAAATTTGAAGTGTTTGTGTACGATGTAGAGCGATTGTTGATTTCCTAAGAACAACAACATGTTAGGAGAGAAAGCTATTTAGGAAAAAAAAGTTGTTGTTTAATGCTGAATTTGGTCAACGGAATAATAATTCAACTTATTTCTATAATTTAACTTAATAATCTTATTACACTTATTTGAGTTACCCGAGAACTATTTGTTACCGGTTATTTGTCAAATTTGAAGTTTTTGTGCCGTGGATCTTGTAGAAACCGAAGTATACACCATCAAAAAATGGGTGCTTAATTATCATGCTCGTAAAGCGCGTCTTCCTATTTTCTGCCATTATATTAGTGATTGAAAATCTAGAACGAATAAATGCTTTTACGAATTAGAGCCCAGAATAGCCTTATATAGGCGTCTCTTTTTTTGCAAGTAACCCGATCAGAGCATTCTAATCCTGTTAGCAGCCATTTCTAATAAGCACCCACGCTTCCCTCCTGTAGTCAAATATTGTTACACAAAACAACTTTGCGATGCGATATGGGAAAAAAATTATTCAATCATCTTTCCCTATCAACCACATTCAAGACACTTTCTTCAAAACCAACCAACCAAAATGACCACTACTATAGATCCAACCGACTACGTTGAAGTTACAGAAGGAAGCTTAAGATTTGGTGATGAAAAACAACAAGCAAAATTCGAATTAGGTGTCTGTATGGCCGTCTACAAATGGGAAGAACTCACGACAGCAGTAGACAATCTTTGGGGTGGACCCAAATCGGCCGAAAAGAGGGATTGGATATCTGGAATCGTTATTGAATTGTTTGATGAACAAGCGGTGGATATCCAACTAATTGAAGAAACTTTATTATATGCTATGGTTGATGAATTTGATACTGAAATAGATAATGATTCCGCTTTGGAAATTGCGGCTTTGATTATGAAATTTTATAAAGATGTTACTATTGGTAAGTATGAACAAATCGATGAGATGTATAGTAGGTGGCAAGCCCAACAGAATTCAGGTACTGTTCATAAAGTTAAGGTTGAGTCAGATCCAAATAATCCGGATGTTTCCGATAGTGAGGATGATGAAGAGGAAGAATATGATCAAGCAAGCGTTCCTGAACTTACCGAAGATCAAATGGAGATAGATGAACCTCAAGGTCCAATAGTGGATGAAGATGGGTTTGAATTGGTTCAAAAGAAGGGAAGAAGAAGATAAGGGTCATTAGATTGTACATTTACATATATAGTTATACATAGAGACACGCAGATAGATTACCTATAATACTATTTAAGGAAACATCTATTGAAAAGTATTACTTCTGGTTCTATTGACCCCAATATCTCTTGATATGCTACCACTTCTAGTCCGATTAAGATTATTCAATGAATATAAACTCGTAACTGAATTTCTTATCCTTGGCCTCACAGGATATGACTGATCATCCCCGGTAGGTTGCGATGTAGGGTTAATCGATAATTGTGGACTTGAATTATTTCTGACTTTAAAATCACTAAATTTCCTAATCAAAGTAGTTGTCATGTCATGTACACTTCCAGGAGCACTCTGACCACTCATCATAGCACTCCCTAATCTATTCATACTTGAAGTAAAGAAACTTTCTGTAGATTGGACATCAAATTTTAGTAATTTAATCTTTGTATTCTCCCAATGATTAACAATAGTTAACGAATTCTTTACCCATTCCGATTCTTCCACTTCTTGTCTCAGAGGTTCAATGATTGTTGTTTTTAATAAACTGATCCAACCAGAAGCAAATTTCCCAACACTGGCACTTATATTATTAATCACCCGGTTATTATGAATACTAACATGTGCTCTAACTCTTTCATTTGTTTTATATATCCGATGATATAATAAACTCATATACCAACCCAAAGACAAATATCCCCAACTGAACCGTAATGGTTCAAATGGAGTCTCAGGTAAATATTCCATACTGATAGCTTTTCCTCTCTGTATATCAATCAACCCCGCAAAATCAATGGCTTCAATTCGTTGAACAACAAGAAGATTCTCTTCTATCGGCATGCTTTTCAAGGTTGATTTCACATAGGGAATGATTATAGATATGATGATTCTTAATCCTTCATTCCCACCCCATGTTTTAGTTATCGGGGACAGTTTTCTCATTTTCTCTCTCGCGGACTCAGACATCCCGATTGGTGGTTTTGGTCTTAATGATAATTCTATCGATTCTGATTCGGAGCTTGGTGCAACGGGGAGTTCTTCATTGTTTTGAGGACTAAGTTGGCGTATAAGTGGGGCAGGTACTGGTTGGATTTGTGGATGGACAACTTCTGGTGAAATGGATAAAGTAGGATTAACCGGGGGTGTGGCGGTAGGACTAGGACTAAGTTGTTGAACTACCGGTTCTTGCAAAATCTGTGGTGGTGGTGGAGGTCTATTATCTATCTTTTCTAAATGGTTCCCATTGAAACAAACACCTTTCAAACTTCCTATGCTTATTCTTAAATCATCAAATACCGTTTCGTTTTTGAGTATTGCATAAAGCAACATCCGTGATGGAATTGGATGTTTTACTATTGTGATTGCAATAGCTCGTATTAATAATGCAACTAAACTTGAATTAAATGGTTTATCTAATATAAATGTCCGACTTAGGAATCTTGATAGTAACATAATAATCAAATTACTTGTTGCGTATGATAATCCTCCTCGTACATTTGGATTGTTTAACCGTTGAGATATGTCATTATGTACTTTGCATGTCTGGTCTGAAACTGGTGGGATGAGATTGTACAATATTTCAACTAATGCTTTCAAAACCAAATCAGGAACTTGCTTATTCGTTCCAAGATATGATGTTCTTGCAATTGAATTGATTAATAAATTGCATATTTGACTGACTATGAAATCTCTTGTTGTGAATGGATGAGTTGGTAATTTGAAATGTTGTGGAAATGAATCATAAAGGGATGAACTTATTGGGAAATATAAATCTTGTAAGATTTCCAGTTCTGAAGAAAGATAAAGTAACAAATATGCGCAAACAGATACTAGATCCTTATGTTCAGCTACGGAATAAAAGTTCGAAATATAGTAAACAAGGAGAACCATTAATTCGGATATGAATTTTTTCCCAATTAATTCTCGGAAGTGTTTATTACATTGAAGTAATTCCCAAATAAGCATAATTGTTTCAGTTGCCCATATTGAAGGTTGATTGCCAGCCTTAACAAATGTGTATGTTTCAGCATCATTCATCCTGAGTATATTAAGTAATGAATTTATCAAGAATAATAATTCATTGTCTTTATGTATATTTCCCATGTATAATCGTGCCATATTGTAAGGTTTTTTTGATATTAAGCTTCCTTCCGTCAACATTATAATTTCTTCTTTCTTTGGTAATGGATATACAATCATCAAGACTAATAATTGGAAAGCGTAGGTTAAGTATAAATGTCTAGCTTCTGTAAATTCTATACTATCTGAGTTCACTAACGCATTTTCACTAGCGGAAATTCTTGATGATCGACATACAAGATTGGTTAAGGAACATACTAAAGTCAATAATTCAACTCTTGGTGTTGTCGCAACTAATATAGTTAGGAACTTCGATCCAGTACCAATTAAACGAGGTAATGATGCTGTATATAAGCTATTTGTACATAAAGTTGTTAATAATTTTAAAACCTCTAGTCTATTGCATTCTATAATTAAATTTGGTTTATTGTATTTTGAAGTATGACCAATTCCAGGTTCCCATAATATCAAATGCTTTAATTTATTTGAATTGGCTGATACTGTTGATGACTCTATCGTGAAACCTCTTATGAATAATAGATCAACTAAGCTTTGGATGAGCTTAACTGCCAATGAATTGTTTATTTGACTTGGATCTACAGTACGTTTCGGTTGTATATCATCATCCTCATTTTGCAGAAGTGTATTTAAATATTCTAAGGGATCAAACTTATCATTCCAGAATAAATCAATCTCAATGTCATTGAGATAATTGGATAATTCAAATAAGAATGGCAATAACTTTGTCAAGAAACGAATGCAATTTAACAACTGTTTAAGATCAGAAGTTGTCAATAAATCATATTGGGATAATTGGATAATTCTTTCCGTCAATATTCGTATAAACAATAAGAAGTTGACAATATTATGATCTCTAACCGTTCTAATATCCTGAGCTGTGAATAATTCATAGATATCATCTGAACAAGTTGGTCTAATCCATAATTGTATCCAGAAATCTGGATGATCTTTCGGTATAATTCTTCCTTGTCCTAATTTAAAGAAATGATTCTTGAAATTCACCCTTTCTTCTGCATTCCTCATAATGCCATGGATTATCTATTAGTTTAATATATGGATTAAGTTATCTGTGATTAAAGACGAAGTAACTGGTGATTGGTAACATTTATAAAAAGTCTCGCTATTAATTGCCTCTAAGTGTCTCAGTTGGGTGTGTACCTTAAAAAAACGTCGTGGTGCTACCATACGTTTACAAACTTAAAGTTAAATAAATTAGTCTATGAAATATTACGAATTATAAAACTTACATGGTAACTTATACACGTCCTATCATCTTAATCTTCTACTTTTAATAGCCTCTTGACCTTCTTCTTCACGCTTCCGTATGGCTCCAGCAATTGAAGCATATCCAACATCAACATACATTCCTGCTTCATTAATTCCATTAGTTCCAGGTAATGCTTCTGTTGACTCGATCTCTTCTTCATCGTCATGTAATTCAATATCATCTAAATCATCGGCATCTCCTACATTTGGTATTTCCACTATGCTTTTATTACGTGGTTCTTGAACTGTCCAATCACTGGGTATTTCTAACGCTGGAAGTTGTTGTTCATGTCCATTAGTTGAATTTCCCCAAAAGAACCCTTGTCCTTCAGCAATCTCCTGTTGCTCTTCCATGTCTTGTTCACTATCATATTGTAATGCCGAACATTTCGCTATGCCTTCGTATAAACTCCCAATATCCCCCTCTACATATTTGAACAATTCACTACCCCCATTTCTTTCACTTATCCTGTCATCTTCACTAATTGATATTTCCAAATCTACACTCGCGATATAATCTTCATGAATAAATGCCGATTTTACAATATCATCACAAACAATCTGTAAAAATAACTTATCACCTTTTACACCAGATAAAATTATTGAAGTATATGGAATTTCCCAACCAAATTTTAAAAGATTAAACCAAATAATTATTGTCGTATTCAAGACGAATAAACTCACATTTTGATCCCAATTGAATTCAACTTCAGCATTATCAGATTTTGATATTTGGTAATTTGGTCCACCTGAATATATCACGAATTTGTCATCATCTTCAAGTGAGAATTTCTCCGGGGATGTGGTTTGGTAGATTTTGAAGGGGAGGGTGTTTTCGACATTGGGTTTTTCGTATACGATTCGGGATTTCGGACTCATCGTTGGGTAATTAGGTGTGTGGAACTGGAACTGGCCTGTGACACATGTGTGGTTTTCGGTTTTCTTGATCTCTAATTTTTTGACAGAAAAAAAAAATCTTAGATTGATGAAAATTTCAACTCCGGGATTCTACTGACAAAAATTGAAATAGCCATTAGAGATGTTACAACCTGATGATGTACTGAAATTTTAAAGAAAAATGCTTATATATATGAGTCCAAAAATTATATAAAATAAAAACTATAAAAAAACAACAGCCCTACTTTTGATTTGAAGTATTCCCCAGTGACAATCTTCTAATCAATCGTTGTAAAACAGGACTACTATTAGAAGGATTCTCAATATGTTCCCTAATCCTAACCTCTCTTTCCTCCTCTTGTCTCTTTAAAACATCCATGCTTGGAGGTAAGGCTTCGTTCACCAAATCAGCTTGTCTTGCTTCTTCAAAACTCATAATTGTCCTTTGTAATCCAGCCTTACCATGTAATAAAGATCCTTTTGGTAATGTACCTCTATTTAATTCTTTTAAATGAGCAACGCTTTCTTGTTCTTCACGCAAGACTTGAAACATTCTTGACATTTTTCCAATAGCAATAATCTTATTACGTAATGCCAATCTCTTGGCTTCGAGGGTTTCTTCTTCTTCAGGGATTCGTCCAGTAGCCATACTGGTAGGGGCCATAGGTACTGGTGGAGGAGCAGATGGTGGTGGGGTTCTTGGAAGTGGTGGGGCTGGAGAAACACGTTGTGCTGGCGATACTTGTTGTTCTTCTGGAGGGGTACAAATTTCCATTGGGGTGGTTACACCAATTTGTGATTCACTGAATGGAATTTCTTCTTCTAATTCTTCTTCAGTGCATACATTCAAAATGCTAACTAACATATCAGTAACTTTTTCACCTACAAAAGGTAATGACCAAGTGAAAACATCCATGAAATGGGGTAGCCAATAAGGATGAGGCAGGGAATTAAATTGTCTAATATTCATGACATTATTTTCATATTTCAAAACAGCAGCTTTATTATTATAACTATCCAAATAATTAGGAGCACTAAACATAGTTAATAATGAAGGGAATCCCATTGTTTTTGTTCGTTTATACATTCTATAACCAGCATTCTGAGCTTCATGAGCTCTAATAACAGATAATAATTTCGTTCTATCTAAGAATTTGCAACTTGCACGATATGTAAAAGAATATGAACAACCACGTACTGCATTGGGGAGAAATTCTTCATTTATATCATCGTCATCATAATCTTCAACTGGATCAGCCCATAATAAATCACACATTAATCCTTTGGTTGGAGGTTCTCTGAATCGATTTAATCTTCTTACTGCTTCTAAATCAGTTAATTGAGGTGAAAGACCTCCATGAACACAAAAGAATTGTTCATTCATAATTGCAGCTAAAGGTAATGCATTAAATGAAGTTAAACATTCTTGATAAACTTCTAAAGAATATTTATGTAAACATTCATTTTTAAAAGTAAAATATTCAGTTAAATGTTTACATTCATGATTACCTCTTAACATCCAAAAAGTATTTGGATAATTTATCTTTATGGAATATAAATATAATAAACATTCAATTGAAAATGAACCTCTATCAACATAATCACCTAAAAATAAATATGACGTTGATTTTGGATCTCCTCCAACTTCAAATAATTTCATTAAATCATAATATTGACCATGAACATCACCACAAATAGTAACTGGAGCAGGAACAGTTAACAAATTAGGTTCAGATGTTAATATTTTAGTTGCTTGTCGAAGTATTTTAAGTACTTGATCTTCATGTAATCTACCTTCATGAAAGAAATGATCTTTCAAGAATTCACAATTTGGTAATCCATTATCATGAAATAATTGTTTATCAGTTGGTTTAATAGTCGCTGGAGGATCAATTGTTTTGACAAATCTTTCAGTAGTTGATATTTGTTCACCATCTTCAGTTGTATATATTGAGAAATCATGTTTTAAAACATCTGATTTCTGATGGATTGCATTTAATGCATTGTTTATTTGAACTGTATTATGTACTATGTTTTGTTTAGACATGTTTTAAAAATACAGTTGAATTGGATAATGATCTATTAAAAACGTTATATAAAAATTAATGAAGATGATGATGTTGAATATT